AGCCCAGATGGCTTTGAGGACCTCCAGCAATCCAAGGGACTCAAATTCCAGCCCAGAGAAGACCCTGGAGTGATAAGGAAACGAAGGTAAGGACATGTGTTTCGTGTTTAGTTTGATCTGCACTCTCCTGTTAGTTAAGAGAAGAGAAGTGTTAGCCATTCTAAGGGTGTGTGTGTGTGTATTTTAACTGTTTCAGAACTACTGCATGTCCCTGAGATCGTGAACCTGTAAGTAGGAGTGGAGTTCAGGGAGAGGGATGTATTTAAGTAAGTGTGGGGTCTTGTGGGCCAGCACTGGTCCTGGGGGTCTATGGAATGTGGGCTGAGAACCCCCTTTCTGAGGAAGGGTAAGAGACACAGTAAGTGCCCAGGAAACGTACCACTGGGGCCGAGGGAAGAAAAAGTGCTACAGCCTGCTGAGCCTCTAGAAGCTTGAAACGCTCCAGAGATCCTGAGCATCAGAGACTTAGATTCCCCTCACAGCAGCAGCCCTAGTGGGCGGCTGGCCGGGAGTGCTCACTAGGCTCTTTGACGCCTCAGCCATGGTCGAGTGCCTGAGGGACATGCCCACAGGAAGGCATCGGAACTATGTGACTCTTGGGATGACCGCCCTAAATATTGCTCGAGCATGCGGGGTGAAATCAGGAAGGCCAAATCACACTTGGAGTTGTAGCGAGCAAGGGATGTGAAGGGTAACAAGAAGTGTTTCTTCAGGTATGTTTGCTATAAGAAGAAGGTCAGGGAAAGTGTGGGCCCCTTATTGAATGGGGGAGGCAAACTAGTGACAGAGGATGTGGAAAAAGCTAATGTAGTCAATGCTCTTTTTGCCTCTGTCTTAACGTACAAGGTCAGCTCCCAGACTACTGCACTGGGCAGCAAAGCACGGGGAGGAGGTGACCAGCCCTCTGTGGAGAAAGAAGTGGTTCAGGACTATTTAGAAAAGCTGGACAAGCTGAGCCATTGGCCATTAACTTTGAAAACTCATGGCGATCGGGGGAGGTCCCGGATGACTGGAAAAAGGCTAATGTAGTGCCCATCTTTAAAAAAGGGAAGGAGGAGGATCTGAGGAACTATAGGCCAGTCAGCCTCACCTCAGTCCCTGGAAAAATCATGGAGCACGTCCTCCAGGAATCAATTCTGAAGCACTTAGAGGAGAGGAAAGTGATCAGGAACAGTCAGCATGGATTCACCAAGGGCAAGTCATTCCTGACTAACCTAATTGCCTTCTATGATGAGATAACTGGCTCTGTGGATGAGGGGAAAGCAGTGGACATGTTATTCCTTGACTTTAGCAAAGCTTTTGATACGGTCTCCCATAGTATTCTTGCCACCAAGTTAAATAAGTATGGGCTGGATGAATGGACTATAAAGGTGGATAGAAAGTTGGCTAGATTGTTGGGCTCAACGGGTAGCGATCAATGGCTCCATGTCTAGTTGGCAGCTGGTATCAAGTGGAGTGCCCCAGGGGTCGGTCCTCGGGCCTGTTTTGTTCAATATCTTCATAAATGATCTGGAGGATGGTGTGGATTGCACTCTCAGCAAGTTTGCAGATGACACTAAACTGGGAGGAGAGGTAAATACATTGGAGGGTAGGGATAGGATACAGAGGGCCCTAGACAAATTGGAGGATTGGGCCAAAAGAAATCTGATGAGGTTCAACAAGGACAAGTGCAGAGTCCTGCACTTAGGACAGAAGAATCCCGTGCACTGCTACAGACTAGGGACCGAGTGGCTAGGCAGCAGTTCTGCAGAAAAGGACCTAAGGGTTACGGTGAACGAGAAGCTGGATATGAGTCAACAGTGTTCTCTTGTTGCCAAGAAGGCTAACGGCATTTTGGGCTGTATAAGTAGGAGCATTGCCAGCAGATCAAGGGATGTGATCATTCCCCTCTATTCGGCACTAGTGAGGCCTCATCTGGAGTACTGTGTTCAGTTTTGGGCCCCACACTATAAGAAGGACGTGGAAAAATTGGAAAGAGTCCAGCGGAGGGCAACAAAAATGATCAGAGAGCTGGAGCACATGATTTATGAGGAGAGGCTGAGGGAACTGGGATTATTTAGTCTGCAGAAGAGAAGAATGAGGGGGGGAATTTGATAGCTGCTTTCAACTGAAAGGGGGTTCTAAAGAAGATGGATCTAGACTGTTCTCAGTGGTACCAGATGACAGAACAGGGAGTAATGGTCTCAAGTTGCAGTGGGGGAGGTTTAGGTTGGATATTAGGAAAAACTTTTTCACTAGGAGGGTGGTGAAGCACTGGAATGTGTTACCAAGGGAGGTGGTGGAATCTCCTTCCTTTGAGGTTTTTAAGGTCAAGCTTGACAAATCCCTGGCTGGGATGATTTAGTTGGGGCTTGGTCCTGCTTTGAGCAGGGGGTTGGACTAGATGACCTCCTGAGGTCCCTTCCAATCCTGATATTCTATGATGTCCTACTGCACAGAAAGCTGGGAGGGAGGAGGACCAGCCAAACCCGTGAAACAGGTATGATGAGATTTGCAGAAGGGACAAACACTGTAGAAAGATCTGTCTGACCTTCAAACAACCAATATGCAGGCAGCAAAGGAAACCAAATATTTTTCTCTGCCACCCAAAAAATTCAACAGCTATTTTGTTCCCGAGCTTTTCTTCTTGGAATTACTTGATCCACTGCCTTTAGATTACTGTCAAGATTTGATTAATCGTTTTCTCTTGGCAGGCTTAATTATGATTGCTAGGTTTTGGGGATAAAATTGTGTACTGCTCTCACTAGAATTGAGAGACTGGACAAAATGTAAGAGATTCCAGCAATGGAAAAATGTACACTGTGTATGGCAGGAAAAAGAATAGTATTACACAAACAAAACCAAAACTGTGGATAAAACAAACACTTGCCAAAACAAAACATGATATTTTATAAAGTGTAACCATGAAAATATTAGATAAATCTGTTTCATATAGATTGTGATTCATTCAGTTTCAAAAATTTCTCAACAAGGTACATGTAGTGGGAGGAAGTAACCTACCCCCAGACTTTTCACATAGTTTCTTCCTGAATAAGACAGTAGTTTCCCATTCCAGCTTCTCTTAGGTCCCATCTACACTGAAATTCCAACTGCACTGGGAGAAATGGTTACAAAATGCACATCCAATGACAGTGTTATATACTGGTGTATGCAGAATCACAGCATGCATTGTAGAACCATGTTTCTACTGTGGTTGTGAATCACAGACTTACAAAAGTCAAAGAATGCAGAACAGTTCAAGAGCATAGTTGAAATTAATTTCAGTTCCATCTACATGACAAAACAGTCTTTAAACCACATCAGGAGACTACTATATTGTAACTGAGTCACTTGGTACAAATAGGATTTACAGTGTAGATGTGACCTAAAAATACATATCTTAAGCTTCTTAGTATTGCTGTGTGAGAGCCTTATTTTGTCCTTATTGGAGATAGAATCATGTTAAACTATGTTTAAACACTGTTGTTTCTAGTCGAGTTCTAGTATGGATTCCCTAGTCAATGCAGAGAAGGATCTCTTTTTCTGAAGATAGCCAAAAAACCCCACATATTATGGACAACCCAGAGAGTTTGCCATCTTTCAGTCAGTCAAACCTTCCCCCGACTCCAGGGGGAAAAAAAAAGTTCCTAGCTCCACCCATAAAACCATTCCTCCTGGAGTAAGTCATGAACACTGCCCGCGTTAGTATGAGCAGGGATTTTCTGCTCCTCCCTGTGGGGAAGATGTTTTATTTCTGTGCCCTGGACTCCAGAAGCAGCAAATCTAGGATGCTGGGAGGACTCTTTATTCTCTCCTTCCTGGTATCTCTTCAAGATGCAGGGACTCCAGGACACTGCTCAAGAAAGTGTTGCTGCTCTTTTTGCCTCTAAATTGCCTAGTTAGGACTTGTGAGTGAGTGTCAGGTAGGCAGAGCAATAAGGAGCAATAATTCTTTCTGCAGTGCAGGCAGATAAGCAGTTAACTGGCAGCCAGCAGATATTCTTCTCAGCTGAGGTGAAGTTCCTTTTATATCTTCCTACTGTATTTTCCACTGCATGCATCTGATGAAGTGGGTTTTAGCCCACGAAAGCTTATGCTCAAATAAATTTGTTTGTCTCTAAGGTGCCACAAGGACTCTTCGTTCTTTTTGCTGATACAGACTAACATGGCTGCCACTCTGAAACCTGATTCCTTTTCTTTGTGGTTCTCAACACATCTCTCCTTGAATGCACTAACTTAGGCCAGCATCAGGTACTGAGCATCTTACTTCAGGTGCTACTGTCAGGAAGATTAAAATTCACACCAGGGGCCTCCTAATTGCTCAGTGCCACTGGTCAAAGAAGACAAGCATGTGCCTGACATAAATAAAAATGATGTTTAGGATGATGGTGCACATCTGTCAGCAGACCAAAGAAAACCAGGTTCAGCAGGAATATAATTTGGTCATTCAAAAAAACCATCTGGTTTAAAACGAAGTAGGTGGTAACCTCAGGTCACACACACACACTCTCTCTCTCTCACAACTGCAGTTAAACTTGGTTGCCACGCAACTCTGTTCTTAGATGGTATAGCCCAGACTGCATGGATGGGACTGAATCATATTATAATGGGATTCAAAACCCTATCCCCGTTGTTAGAACAAGCTTGAAATTCAACCAAATTTAATGACTGTTTTTGGTGTAGTTGTTTTTAGCCTGTAAATGGGGTCTTAGCTTGGTAGCATGTAGCATACTTTCATAATGAGGTTCTAACACGATTTCCAGTCAAACAAATCTCTGTTCAGAGTGGTAAAGGAAATTTGCAATAATAGTGGTTAATCATGGTTAGAATTAGCATAGTTCTTCTCCTACTTTGGATAGAGTAAGCATACACATAATTAATACCTAAATCTTCATGTGAAAGGTGGTGCAGTAAAATTGTGCTGTGTATGAGGAAAGAGGGTGGATTAATCCATTCACAATTTATTATAGGAGAGGCAAGTGAAAAAATGGTGTATTTATAAGAAAAACTTTAACACTAACCTGCCGCAGCATGGCTTTAAATGCCATATGCCTTAATCTCATTGTTAGGATTTCTCCTGACCTCCCATAAAGGAATCCCTGCAAGAAAAAAAGAACAGTAGGGCCTCAGAGCTTTGATTTTTACTACTTGTAATTTAAATGGCAGTCTGATGCTATTTATAATCAAGTACAGTCATTTATTACAAGCATAGCGCACAATGGAGAGATGTGAATATAAAATTAAAAAAACCAACAAGAGCTGAACAATACAGCTGCAGAACAAGACAGACATTCCCCCATCCCATCATGCCATGATCCCTCAGCTGCCAACTTTAAATCAATAGCTGATTAAAGCAGTTACTAGAATGCAAACTGCTGTTCCGACCAATTGTTTTATTGATTATGAGAGTTTACCTGCAAAAACCAAGCGATAAAGCAAACACCACCTATAACAGCAAATGTGATGGAGAAAATGTTAGCTTCATGCTGAATCCTCTCCGGATCATCTTTTATTGAAAAAATCTGCAAAAATAGAAGGAAAAACATCCAGATGTTTTGTCAGCCAGCCTATTAATAGATGCTGTATAACACTATATAGACTAGAATGGAGTTTCTTACATACTTGGGGAAGAAGAGAGGAGAGCATTTATATGAATGAATATTTGAAGGTTAAAGTTAATGAGGACTAAGCGTTAAATTTTCAAATTTCACACTGACTTTTCTTCCTCACACCGGCTTCCCTCCTGATAGTCATGGTGCTGTAACTCCGCTGTCTGGCTACAGAGAATTACCTTTGTTCAGACCTCTAGGCACTGGTGTCAGAGACTGCAATAATTATTGTGCCCATTCCCTGGCTTTGGAACGCTGACACAGCACTGAAGTCAAAATTTGAAGGAATAAAAAAGCAGTCTTGTTAGCAACTGGCTGGTCAGTAACTTCCTAATAGAAGTTAGCCCTCTGATGCCATCTGGAAACCTTTTTTCTTGATAATATTCCAATAGGCATAATTTTTCAGGAATGGGAGCGCTACAAGAGGCCCTACTTTACTTTATTCAGTGCAGAAAGACCACCCCCATCCACATTAGAGAGAGGAAAAGAAGGCGTGAGCCAGCGATTAGCCGTGGCTGGGATGATTTAGTTGGGGACTGGTTCTGCTTTGAGCAGGGGGTTGGACTAGATGACCTCCTGAGGTCTCTTCCAACCCTAATATTTTATGATTCTATGATTAAACTATAGGAATGGGAACGTCTTGGTTCTACGACATGCTCCAACCATCACATCCTCCGTGGCTGTGGACAGACAACTCACATCTCTCTGCCTCAGTTTGTGTAAAACGGGGATAATCCTTCCTTCCTTCCTTCCTTCCCAGACACGTTGTGAGGACTCATTCATTAATGTTCATAAAGTGCTTTGTGAATGGGAAAAAGTGCACTATGAATACTAAAGATTATTATACTACAGAGAAACTATGTTAGCCAGAATCATTTTTAAATAGAAAGATGCAAACATGGTTTTTCTATGTTCTGAATTGTTTTACAAACCATGTTTATAATCTGCTTATGTTGGTGCTCAGTGACCCAAGAAACAGTGGTGAAAATATGCTAGCATATTTTTATGAAGAACTGTGTATAAAAATTATTCTAACTACCCTGGTTTCACTGAAGTGTACATAGGGCCAACGATACCAATCAGGTCAACTTAACTAGCATCCTTCTACAATTACATTGTGGAAAAGTCAGTATTCCACTTACTGTTACAATTTTAGCAAATATGATGGAAAAGATAGGGTGACATGCTCCACTGATAACGGCAGCTAGTGTCCCCAGTGCAATGAAAGGCCACTCGGGCTTGTTTAATCTAAAAAGTTTGAGGAAAGAAACTTTGGGAAGGTGTGCCTAGAAAAGAAAAACAGATTAAAATCAGAACTTTCATTTTTGTCAAATACAATTCAATTTTACATTTTTAAGAGAGCTGAGCTGCATTATGATGCCTACAGGAAGAGTTGAGTTTAAGAACCCTGGACTAGTAGAGAACAAGACAGGTAAATGGAACGACTACAGATGACAGGACTGGCCCAAATCCATTCTAAAAACACTCTGGAATATTCTTAACACCAAACTTTATATGGATAATTATACTTTGTACTTACATTCAGTAGCACCTTTCACTTAAAGATCTCGAAGAAGCTCTACAAAGGAGGTTATGTATTACCCATATTTTATAGATGAGGAAACAACACACTCAGAAGTGAAGTGATTTTGCTGAAAGTCGCACACTGAATCAGTGATACAATTTTAAAAAGAGGACGCAGTCCTCTTGACTCCAACTGAAATAATCTTTGATATACACCCCCTTTCAGAAATATTCTGATCTCTCAGGAAGAACTGTGAAGGTTTACCACTGAGCTGCTGAATCTTTCTAGGGTTAAAACAAAGACCCACAAATCAACCAACCAAAACCAAAAAGCCTCGACTAAGCGACAGTAAACCATTACCTCTTCAGGTGCGGCTTCTTCTTCAGCCTCTTTTTGTGGAACATGTTTTATGCTTGCTCTTTTGGAAATCAACCCATTGATGGGGAATACTTCTTCCTGATCTTTTAAGGTAATAGTTTCTGTTGATTCTTCATGGTCTTCTGTTTTAATAGACTTTAACACAACATAAATTCAGTCACAAATATATCCAAAAGGTCAGTATAGTTGCATTAGATAGACTCCACTGCCATTTGCAGTGTCATGTCGGTTCTGTGAGACCCTGACTGCTATTTTGGATTTAGTCCTCTGACTAAATTTGGTACTCATACCCTTATTTGGCAGAAACATAAGAGCATTTCCCCTAGTTATTGGATTCTCATGCCTCATGTCCTGAAATCCAGCTACAGGCATCTTCTGTGTTCTCTACACGTTTACATAAAAAGCTAACATTTTGTGCCAAGCATTAAGGAAGCCATGCTCACTTTCTTCCAAAGAGCCTAATCCTGTGCAGTTATTCCTGTGAGCTTCCACTGAGTTCCATGAGAAATGAGGTTGCTCAGCACCTTTCAGAAGTGGGCCCAAAAGGTTGTAAAAGCAAACAATACATTCAAAAATACTTTGACATATTGTTTTAATTCTGTTTTTTAAATGATTTGCAAAACTCATGAGAATACATGTTTGTTTTCCCATTTTAGGCCGTAATCCTGGCCTCGTTGAAGTCAGTGGCAAAACTCTTATCGACTCAGAGAGGGAGGATTTCATCCCTAGTACTTTGAAACAATGTCTTCTGAGTTTCCTTCTAGTTTATCCTCCCACTACCCCAGAGTATCTAAGTGGGCTGATTCTGAATCGCACAGACGAAAGAATCCATGACAGCACAACAGTTCTAAAGTATAGCATATAAGAAAGTTTCCTACTAACATGGTTTCAAACACTATTTCCAGGGTCAGAGCCGGCCATACTCGTCTCGAAACTGTGTTTTAAAAACAAACAATTTTCAAAGTATATTCAAGAGTTTTCTAAAATGTGGCTTAAAAACAGCCTACTTATATCTACTGGCCATTCTTAAACTGTGTTGTTAACAGGAGTGGTTTTAAAACCATGGTAACACGGATGGTATGAAAAACACTGCTTTAAAATTGTTCCACTGTCACAACCTTAGTGCCAGTCCAGGCCTTGTCTCCATTAAACACAACTACTAGCACCTCTCTCACAGTTGGGCTTGCAACGGTGACAGAACCACGTAGATCAGCCACTATTCTAACCCTGCTTAGATAACACGGCAGTAAAAATGCCTGTATTCTGCCTACAGTATGCTAGCACCATTTCTACCATTGAAGGGGTTGCACTGCTGCTAGGGGGGGAAATGCTGAAAATTGTGTATACACACCTGCACTACAACTGTAATTGTACAAGCGCCTGGTTGTGTAGCGAAGTTAGGGGGCGTCTGGATTCTGACAGATTCTGTGTATAGCGTGGATCTAACATCAAAATCAGGAAATAGAATTACAGACTAGACTCTTACCTTTTCTTTGGAACCACCTGTGTGCTGTGAAAGCTTCCATCCACCCCTTTAGTTGGGATTCCACACAGAGCAGTTGCCAAAGGAGCTGTGCTACGAGGAAGCTGGAGGGTGGGGAAGGGGGCCTGATTTCAGCACATCCTGGGGTATCTGTGGGTTTGGGGAGGCATGGGGGGAGGAGCAAACCCCAGTGACATGTACGAACAGAACAATCTTGGTTTTTTGCAGAAGGCAGTGATTTGGCTTTTAGTTACCATTGTGCTCTAACTTCTTGGCAGAGTAAAGAACTTAACGCATGTACTAGTATATGCGTGACCTGCTTATTACACTATCTTTTAAATAAATGAAGTGGATATATCACAAACAAGGACTTTCACAGGAAAACTTCAGTATCTTTGTAAGGTACCCAAGAGACTTAAGCGAACAAAAGACACATCTACATTCTCATTTCTAGCTTTTATATCTAAAATTGTGAATTCAACGTACCTGTGCTGTTGCAAGCGAATAATATAACCCTCTTTTCTCCATCAGCTCTGTATGTGTTCCTACTTCAGCCACAGCACCACCCGCTATGGCCACTATTACATTTGCAGTCCGAATGGTGGAAAGCCGATGAGCTATTACAAGAGTGGTTCGACCTTTGCTGGCCTGTAAACAAACAACCAAATTGTAATTTGCGCCCCCTGTGGCTTGGAGATTTAGTGTAATTTACTCTAATTGCTCATTTTGAGACTGTAGTTACTCCCATCGATTTCATTTGCTAAACATCCTGACAATCCATGAGTTTTTCCACAACTGACAACTATAACCTTGCGCGCCGTGGTTCCTTCTCTGCTGGGCTACAGGAGACCTGCTTGCTGGCATCCACAATAAACAAAATCAGAAAGATTGTTTTGCTTCTCCTGCTTTTCTAGACTCTCTCCCTAAAGATTCTATTCAAAATTAAAAAGCTAAATTCTGAGCTGCTCTAGGTTATGCCATGTGCAACTGTCTCATGGGGACTGATTCCTTGCAGAGGAGCAGATGGAGCAACATGTGCTCTGGTCGTGCCCCAGCATGCCTCTATGTAGAGGTCCAGGTAGCATGAAGTTGGTTATGCTAGTCTGACACCTCCCAGGAGTTTTCCTGAACTGGGGGAGTTCTCAACTGTCTTCTTGAGGCTTCTGTAAGTGCCTTCTTTGCTGCCAGATTGGCATAAAGATACCCAGGATACATCTACTCTGCAATATCTCACCTGAGGCTGGCCTGGGTCAGCTGACTCAGACTCATGGCGCTCAGTCTGGGGTCTACAAAATTGTAGTGTAAACATTCAGGTTGGAACCCACCCATCCATGAGGGAGAGGGTCCCAGAGTTCAGGATCCAGTCCAAGCCCAAATGTCTACCCTCAGTTTTACATCATAAGCCCCAAGAGCCCAAGTCTGTGGACATGGGCCCACTCCCATGTGTTTAACTGCCATGTAGACATACCCTAAAAGGTACCTGGTTCAGATTGATGTAGTCCCATTTGAAACAGGACTATGTTAACATGAACTAGGTACTTTTTAAAGGGCAGTTAGAGCACAACACTTTACCATGCTTCACAAATCACACCCCTTTGGTGGACTTTGCCAGTGCCATGTAGACAAATCATTTGTCAGGGCTGAGGATCTGTTTTTTGGGGGTAGTAGCCATGAATGACATGCAGTGGAATACTAATCAATGCACACTTCTTCAGCACTGCACATCTCTATGAAAAGCATTAACTAGAAGGTATCAATATTTACACACTCAAAAGATTAACATTACTGTAGCACTTCTTAATACCCCGTTTGGCATTTTTGTTAGCATTGTGCTGATGATCTGAAAGTACAGAAATATCTATTCTACCAATTCAGATGTTTGCGTATTTGACATTGATTTTCAAGAAACAGACAAGATGTTTATTCTAAAAGCTCTAATGGTGACAAATTATTTGCCAAAGGTCAGATGTTGCCCTCAATGATTTGCACCCTATTTACAGTCTGATAGTAGCCAATGGGTTTGCATGTGCATCAGGGCAACTTTTGAGCCTCATAACCACACATCCATTATATCTTAGTGATTTAGACCCCAGTCTTGCAATGAGGGCTCATCCATACAGAGCCTCACTGCAGGATTGGGCCATGGTGAGAATTACCACGTGGTTACTGTTGTTCTCAGTGGGGTTACAGCATTGTTGGGTAGCATTTGGGCAGCATTTGGCAGTAATTGAGTAAATCATCCCTGTCATTGCAGTACAATAATAATCTTGTTAATCTACTCCTTGCTTTGAACAAAAATATACTTGATTCAAGAAGATGGAACTAGACATTATGTCAATAACCCAGCATTTACCTTTTCCAGTGCAGCTTGGACTACTGACTCACTTTCTGTATCCAGGGCAGATGTGGCCTCATCTAACAAGAGAATTTTAGGGTTGCGCACCAAAGCTCGAGCTATGGCTATTCTCTGCTTCTGGCCACCACTCATCTGTGCTCCTCTTTCTCCTACAAGGGTATTAAATTTCTGAGAAAACAACAGAGACACCATCAGTTTTGCAGTATAAACAACCGCTAAATAGAGCTTGATCCACACTCCATTGAAGTCAATGGAAAGAGCCCCCTCCACCCCATTTATTTTAATGAACTTTGGATCAGGCCCACAGTGAAAGCAAGATAATTATGTATTATGGGGTGGGGTGAGCACCCTAGTGAAATGAAAGCTAAGGTTATATTGTCTGATCCACAGAGTGCAGGACACCAATCCCATCTGAAATGAAATCTACCCAAAGTTACTTTCAGTAGCAAAAATGTTCCCACAAGCAGGTGGTCATGGAATTTTTTCAGAGGGGGGTACTAAGAACCAGGGGGACAGCCCAAGGGAGTTTCTGCTAGATCTGGTACTGGAACACAGGTTTCTGATGTGAAAGGCCCAAATCTTATCCACTCAGCCGCAGCACCTCTCAACAAAATACATGTCAGATCTGCTGCCCTGACTCAGCCAGGTACCGAAGCACTTGCATAACTTGAAGCACGTAGTAGTTCTATTGACAGTGAGGATACTCACATGCCTGAAAGTCATGCACATGCTCAAGTGCTTGTTGAACTGGGGCCTTTGTGCCATAAGCACTACCCTGATCACCACATTATATGCCTGAAAATACAAATTCTGAATGATACTGCAATTTCCACTCTTAGCCACAAGGTGGCTGTAAAAATCAATGTTTCTCTGCTTACATTTATCAGCTGTTGCTGAGTTTTGGTTACCCATATTCTGTGATTTTGCAGAGGGGCAGTCATCCCTCAACTTGGGGCTGAGATTGAAGAAAAGACAACTATAGTTCTTACTTTTAAGATACATTTATATCAGAGTCATCCATGCTCCCAGCTTTTGGATTCACAGTTATCCCTCCCCTGACCCCAGCCCCGATATATTTCCATTTCCTTAGGTGTCTGTTTCAGAGAATTTAGAGAAACACTGCAATTGCTGCAAATTTCTTCTGTCACACACACATGAAAAATGATTTCTTTTATGCTGATATCTCAACATCTCACTTTATTTCAGTTCATTTCTAAGAATGCCGGCTATTTTCAGTACCATACTTACATCAGGAAACTCCATGATAAAATCATAAGCATTTGCTTCTTTTGCTGCATTCTCAATTTCTTCATCAGTTACATCCTCTCGACCATATCTTATATTGTTTCTAATTGTTGTCCCAAACAGAACAGGTTCCTGACTGACCACACCAATGAATTCTCGGTAATGTCTCAGATTAAGGGACTTTATGTCATGTCCATCCACTGTGATCTAAAGAAAAATAAGACTATGAGAGCCTGAGGTATATTATTATTTTTCTTATTATATTGTATTACTGTAGCACCTAGAAGCCCTAGTCATGGACCATAACCGCATTGTGCTAGGCGCTGTACAAACACAGATCAAAAAGACACTCCTGTTCTTGAATATTTCTAAACCTACAAACGTTTAGGACAAAATGTTCCCATTCAGTTTGGCAGGGTAGATTTAGGATTCATGAGAAAAGTGAGGATTTATTTTTGTTTCAGTGAAGAAATAGTCCTTGGCCAGATCATAGAATCATAGAAGATTAGGTTTGGAAGAGTCCTCAGGAGGTCATCTAGTCCAACAACCGGCTCAAAGCAGGACTAACCCCAACTAAATCATCCCAGCCAGGGCTTTGTCAAGCCGGGCCTTAAAAACCTCTAAGGATGGAGATTCCACTACCTCCCTAGGTAACCCATTCCAGTGCTTCACCACCCTCCTAGTTAAATATATGTTCATGTTTCCATATACTAAGTGGAGATTTGCCTCTGCTGGGCACCACATCTGCAGTAGGGCCAAAGTAATGGAAAAAGGAAAGGGCCCTCAATCTGAATCCTACCATCCCTTACATAGAGTTGGCTGGAGATATTTTTCATTTTTGCAGGAGAGGAAAACTTGAAACCAGCAGAGGCCATCTCTGCTTATCAAGCATATGGTATCATGGTTTATTGACATACACCCTAAAGCCTGCATGACGCATGGTGCAAGGAGGATAGAAGGGAAAAAAGAACAACCATCATGTATCTTAAATGGGATGATCAGTCCTATGCAGGTAATCCATATGGTGGAGGAGGTAACACAAGGTTTGGCACTTTAAACTTTAGCTGTGCTCAGAAATGCCCATGAAAATTCTTTGTCTGGATAGCAAATAGGAGAGGATAGATATAAGCATCAGGCAATCGCTGAGCTGAACACCGGTCTTGTATGTGCACTTTCACAGGACTGTGTGACACTGGAGCCTGGGTGGAGTGTGCTTGGCTGTATTTTGTTACAGTGCTGTTTTTTCCCATTTTACACATGAAGGGGATCACCATTACGTAGTGGCCTGGAGGATAGAGCTGTGCGAAGGCGAAGCCCAGAGAATGTCCTATCAGGACCCTAACCCACTTCTCCAAAACTCGCTTGTGTAAGTGGTATCCCAATTCACAGAGCCAGGACAAGAAGTTTAGGTTGTGGAGTGAGCAGCAAGGGTGGAGTAACTTAAGTATGGCTAATCAGTGGCCTCACCTTCCTATGTGGTCATGTTACCTCAATCGATTTAGATACATATATGGCCCCTATCACTACAGCATGTGAACACCTCTAAAGTAGTTAAGCTTAAAAAACAGTAGCCTTTCTCTCCTTTCATCACTTACTATATTGAATACCATGAGCCCCCAGGTCCCTCTGAGGAGTGTAGATTTGCATAGCTAGATCTACTGGAGCTAGATATGAATAGCAGGTAGCAGGTGATTCAAAGTGAGATCTGGGGCCAGACTCATTGGCAAAGATCTGCCAGCAAAGGACAGATCAGTATTTAGATGGTCCCTTCTAAATAATATTTAATAATTAAACATTGTATTTATTTCAATTCAAGACAATATCTACCCTCCACAGGAAATCCTATAAACAACACTGTTAAGCAAGTAGGCTACCAAATATGCAGGATACCAGCTAAGTGTGTGTTTGGGTGTTCTAAATCCAAGCCCAGCATCTGCAACAAATTCCTAATGTAGAAGGTGAGGCTGCTCAGAACAGAAAACACACTACAGTATTTAAAAAGCTTGCCAGTGATTTATATAACTTCCAAGTGATCCACTCTCTGAGGGCTGTAAGGTTCACTTTGTAAGAGTTAGACATTTGTTAAATCTCCCAGCATCAGACGGGAGGAACAGCGGCTGATTGCTGCAAAATCTTTTGTATTACACTTGGTTGCAATAACCCCAACTTTGTGCTCCACTTGTCTCCTTTTGACTTGAGGACTTGTATAGCTAGAATTCTTTGTATATTACTATTTTAATACCTATATAAACAGTACTATGCTCTAGAATGGCTGTACTCACCACTCCTTCCTGTGGATCATAAAACCTCTGAAGCAGCTGGACCATCGTGCTCTTACCACATCCACTGCTTCCAACCAGTGACACCGTTTGTCCACAGTCAATTTTCAGAGTGAGACCTTTCAAAACCTTGCGGTAGTTAAAAAAATAAAATGTAGAACAATTTCAAATTAATGAGATTCTGTCACTAAATCCTGCCAGATTTATCCCTGCTACATTTTCAAAACCCACTCATTCCCATTGCAAATTCTGGCTCTGATCTTGTCTCATACCTCAACCCCTGGAACCTGCTCTTCCTGACACCTCACGTACTCTAATTTGCCCAGAGTTCTGCAGCAGTCATCTGCTGTCATGGTTCTGACCACATTCAGTCGCTCTTGAAGTCCTTCCATTGGCCTCCTGCTTCACATTCAAGCCCCTAGGCTCACCTTCAGGACCCTGCATAACTTTGCTCCTTTCAATCTCTCCTCTCTTGTCCTTTTTAGAGGCCACACCTTTCTTGCCTCACTCAGCTCAAATGTTATATTGGCTAACAACCCCTTCTCCATGCCTTCTTTTATGTTTCCTCTACACATGGAACTCAAGTCAACCTCCTGACTCCAATCTGCTGTGCTTCCATCCTATCCTCTAAAGCAGACAACTCTTTTAGTGTAATACACAAGTAATATGCCATATTTCAAGCTGTAGTCACTGTGACTACAACAAAGCACAGAATAGGTGTTTCTCCTACCTGGACATCTGGTCTTGAAGGATAACTGAACTGTACATTATTAAATTCAAGTGTTCCCTTTATGTGATCGAGTTTGTGTCCATCTGAAGAAAAACTATCTATAGTTGGTTTCTGGGGAGTGGAAAAAAATTAAAATTCAAGCAAAAAATTTACAAATGCACAATTGAGGGAGGGAGATATCATTATAGCCTGAATATTTCATATTTTTATTCTACCATTTAAAATATCTTCCACACCACACCTGTTTTAGCATTGGGTAGTTGCAATCTAGGCTGGCTGCCATAGTTACTTTGCTTTGGTAACTGCATTCTATTATTTGTAATTTCCTTTGAAGAGCTTGAACATCATGTTTCTTTCTAAGCCAGTTTGGTCTTTTTCCATTTGGCAAACACTAATTTTTTCCTCCTTTATTTTTCAATGGAATTTACTATGGCTTTTTTGTATTACTACCTTATTTTTCTATTGGCATTGTTAGTGCTCTCATACAAGATAATAGCTCATTTATGAAGACAGGGTAGAAGGATCCATACCTGATCAATTATCTTGAAAACTTTAAAGGCAGCTCCTCTAGCAATAGAGAAAGTTTCAAAGTGTGGTGCTGCTGTGCCCAGGCAATAACTACTGAAAGTTACGCAGAAGAAAACCTAGAGAAAGAAGAAGATGAAAACCACGCTGAAAACAAATCAATAATTAAAGGCTGGTCCTATAGTCTTGATTTAGGCAACACTCCCACTTATGACCATTGGAGCTATGCCTCAGAAAAGACCGCAGGATCAGCCTCAGCATTGGTATGTCATTCACAAGATATTCCTAAGTATCAAAAGAATTAAGTTTAAACCTTGGAATGCCAGAACAATACCTTATAGTCTGGAACCATAGAAACTGAGAAGGATTTTTGGAAAAATTCTATGGAATTTCTACATGACAGAAAGAAAAGGACTATTTTTATTTTCTATTCTACTTGTCTCTTTTGTAGTATATTTTAACACCAAATATTGTTAAAAATACAAAAAAGTCATTCAAAAATATTTACTGGTTTATGAAAGTGAATGGCCTTTACCTCTGCTAGATCATGTTTTACAGAAAACTCAGAAAACCCGCAAACCACACTGAGAAAGTCCAACATATCTTTAGCTGACTACACCATAAACCTCACTATTACTCTGAGTTTTAAGGCAATCAGAAAATAAAGTTTCAATTTCCCAAACAATTAAAAACTCCACACAGTCAAACTTTCAACTTTATTCTATAGAACATCTTTCAAATGAATAGAAACACAAGATGTGAAGAGTATATACAGCCACCCTACCTAATAGTTGATCACATAATTTGTGAGGAAGAATCTATTAGGCAAATTTCACCTCCTCTTCTGTTTGTGGAATATCCATAAACAGATTATGATTTTCTCTAATTTGTTAGTTATTTTAAATTGTCTGATTACATTTTCAATTAACTTCATTTACTGCTATTTGGTTGTGACTGGTCATATTGTTGCATAGTATTGTTTCTGATCTCTGACTGCAATTATTATAATCCTTGTGTCTAGTGTGAATGCTTCTGGAAAGTAAATTTAACATTCATCTTCTATGCAGATTTGTGCTGGTAAAGCAAACTGCATGAATGTTCATTGAAAACAAACACAGAAGAGATGCAAATATGGCAGAGACAAATTTTTATATAAATTCAAACTAATACCATGAAAGAAATCACTATTTGACTCATTCTATTAGATAAGCATGTTAGCTGAAACAGCTATGACTTGTGAAGTACAAAACCAGGTAGATTTAAGTCATCTTTATTTGACCTCAGAGTGAACACTTCACTGAGAAGAATGGGGGAAAATTTTACATCTGCTTTGTTGTTACATTAAAAAGACAACAGCAAACCAGTTATGTTGTGAAGATTCTCTTCTACCTCTCTAAATTCTTATATTAGTGCCCATTATCCCAGTATCCAAACACAACTTCACAACCAAAAGGGCAAGGAACTTAATTTTAACTTATATTTTACAGAACACAACTAACTCTGCAGGAAATTAAAGAAAGAACCCAGCTCCTGAACAGTTGTGGATTCTCCATACATACGATATTTCTTGACCCTGCCTATAGCCAACATATCATAGACTCAGCATCACCTTCACAATGAAGTTAGTTAGTAGAAAGACACTGATGTTAAAATATGACACTTACAGCTAGGACAGTCCCAATGGAATAGCCAGTATTCTCATCAAGAATTAAGGTAGTTCCATACCAAAACCCAAGCCCGTAGCATCCATTTATAATTAGATACAAAAAACCAACAGACAGTTTAGAAGCAATAGCCTTTTTTATACCAAGGTTTTTCGCTTCTCCTAGTTTACTTGTATATCTGTTAAAAAGACAAACATATATGTTAGTCATTGTGGCTGCAGACAAAGCCATAAATTAAAGAAGTCATTAACTATTGAGAGAGTCAGACCTGTTGATTTCCTTCTCTTGTCCTCCAAAGGCTACAACAGTTCGCACTGATGACAGGACTTCTTCTGCTACTGCACCTGCTTTGGCATAGGCTGTTAACTCCTTACTGGTTAATGTGATGATCATCTACAGTCAATGGGAGCAGAATGAAGTGAACTTCACAGACAAATCGAGAGTAGCTCTATACCTCATGTTTATTATGTTACTCAAGCAGGTCAAAGTGGCAGATCTCTCTGAGCTCAGAACTGCCAGATTCACAATGATCTTTAGAAGTGCTTCCTGGGGCATTATTCTGTGTCTGAGCAAGTATCCAATCTTGCAAATACTACCATGCAGATGTAAGTATGCACTATCTCAATACTGTTTACAGAACTGGACCTGTAGGAAGCATTTTAAATGCTATTCCATATGTACAGAACTTGTTGTGGAATAGATCTTAGAAGCATAAAGATCTGAGATCTTATAAACTCTGTCCCAGCAGTCTACTAGACCTTCCTAAACAGGATGAGTGCAGGGATGTTCATTAATTGGGATTCCCAACACCACACCTGGAGACCTTGCTCTGGGCCAAGTGAGGCCAGGAGAAAAATGCTAGGCCCAGAGGGGTTTTTTTGGGGGAGAGCTATTGAATCTTCTCAACTTCATTTATACATTTTAAGATATCAAAAGACAATGTTAAAATCATAAAGTCATGTGTTTAGGAGGACCACTACCTGTTACAAATAATCTGTTACCGAGATTGTGAAGTCTTTGGGACAGGGACTATCTTTTTGTTATGTGTGTGTGTGTGTGCGTAACACCGAGTAGTATGGTGTCGTGATACTGTTGTGGCCTCTAGGTGCTACTGCAAACCTACTACCATCACTGACAATACAAGAAAACTGAGACTAAGAAATATACCTAATTCCCTTAAATATATCTTTTTCAGGCTAAATATTAAAAAAAAAAATTTTTTTTTTTACTCCAGATTCAAACTTACTACTGGAGCTGCTCGGAAATTTTTCAACAGAAAAGATTCATTGAAGCGGAACCTTTATGGAAACGTATTGGCTTCAACCAAGCTTTTGCCCAGAATGTTTCTCAGGTCCAGAATGGGATTTCTGGTGAAAATGAGAGAGCACCCAGAATAGCCAGTGGTTAGGCACTCAGCAGGGATGTGGGAAACTTATATTCAAATCCTTGCTCCGAATCAGGGCAGGGACCTGAACCTATAGTTTCTACATCACAAATGAGTACCCTAACCACCTGGCTATTGGCTGTTCTGGGGTAGGTTACTCATGCCCTACTTTAAAAAAAAAAAACCTGAAAGGTCTGTTTTGTCCTGTTGCAGAACAAAAATAAATGTTGAAACTTCAGAATGGAATTCTTATTTTCCAGCCAGCCCTACTCACCGTCGCCTACATCCTTAAATCCCTCAGTTTGGTCAAGGGGAAGAGAGATAATAAGGTAGAATATCCTCTGGGGAATTAAGTTTATATGTAAATTGTCTCAGAGCTGCTAAGCAAAAAGTCACTACTTTCAGCTGTTAGCAGGGATGGGCAGGTTTGTATAATTTTTGGTGGTCCCCAGAACAGGTCCAAGTCCTGCCCCCCAACACCTGCTTTGTAAGCCGATACATATTTTAAAAAATAATTTAAAAATGTGAGTGCTCTGGGGTGGGGCTGGTGACGATGGGTTCACGATGCAGGAGGGGGCTCAGGGCTGGGGCAGAGGGTTAGGGTGTCGGGGGATGAGGGTTCTGGCTGGGGCTGGGGCTGAGGGGTTTGGGAGAGGCTCAGGGGTATGGCAGAGGGTTGGAGTGCAGGGGGAGCGGGCTCTGGGGTGGGGCAGGGCTGGGGATGAGGTGTTTGGGGTGCAAGCAGATTGCCCCGGGCCTGGGGCCAGAGAGGAGGACTCCCCCCAGCCCTCTCCCCGCCGACAGCAGCGAGCTCCGGGGGAGGGGCCCCCCATACTCCCCCGGCAGCACACTCACCTCGCACCACTGTCACTGCATGTGCTCCTAGGGCCCCTCTCAGGTCCAGGAAGCCCCCTCACCTCCCCTGTGGTGGGTGCTGGTGAGGAGGGGGGCTACCATCACATGTTTACCTCCTCCCCTGCTGCTGCTTCTCACTGTAGCCTCACCGGGGGAAGCAAGTGGGGGCCGAGGGACACTCGGGAGAGGTGTGCGGGGGTGGCAGGTAGGGCCGGGGGAGAGACCCAGCCCCAAACATTGGTGGAGCCGGGCCCCTGGGCCCTGAAAATTGCTGAAGTCCGGACACCATGGGCCCATATAAGTCGCCGCCCCTGGCTGTTAGGAGTCAGAGTATCAGTTCATACCCTGATAATCTAGAACATTCTAAAAATGTCAAAAATTAACAGCTCGAGAGGTCTGGGAATAACAGGAAGTAAAGTGTCACAAGACAATTATGCTGCTTATAGTTTTCAAAGTTTTCGATGAATTTTGGGGTCAGAGACAGGATAATATTTGCAAATTGGGTATCAAACTGAGTATTTTATCTCATGGCAAGGCAGCGAAGTATATATTGTAGATGAGACAGAGGTGAAAATAATAGTTGGAATGGGCACCTGAGCTTGTTTTAGGGATCCATCCTGCCATAGGTTACACACTTCAAAGAGGATATGGGTTCATATCCTAATGCAGGATCAGGCCTGAGTGGTTGACTCAGCACTAAATCATGTGGCCTTAAGACCCATCTTTATTTATTTCTGTCCTACTGCTAACAATTCCATCATTTCAAGCCATTTTGTTATGTCTTTAAGCATCTGGATTCCAGCACTGCCTTCAATAAGGACCCGACTGGGTGGATTTGAGACTTTTATTTTTTTGACTCTGAAATTTAACTGGGTTTAAGCACATTAAACTGGCTGTAGCATTATACAAATTTACATGTCATACATGATGTGCTCTGTACGTGTGATCAATAGCTATCCTGTGTTTGTATCTCTTGTCTGAGAAGTTAAACTTCTCTAGTTATGTTAATCATTGAAATCTGACATTGTTACCCATATTGTATGTGATTCAAAGCCATCCAAAGTATGACATGTATTAGAGTAAATAAATGGCCCTGAGCATGTGTTAGCTGCTTATTGTCTCAGAGTTTTCTTTTATCACTCTAATAAATGAATAAAACCTACTAGATTTGCCTTTGAGATATAGTGAAAGTCAGATCGTTGTTAGAATAAGTATCTAATCCAAACGTAGTAATCAGTAGTAATCATTGCTAGGAGAATTGTTCTCTTTCCTATCATCTTCTGATGAGCCTAGTGGAAGCTTTTTTGTTATTAATAAAGACAACACAGTGTTTATCTCGATAATTTACTTGTTAAAATGAAGAGATTTTCTAATATTAATTAATATTAGACAGTTTCTCCATTTTTAAAGATAAAATGATTTGAATTGGCCTAAATATATCTATGTACCTGTCTATCTGTGCAAAAGAAAAAACTTTTTTTTTTTATCAGGCATTTTTCTTTTCTTTTCTTTTCTTTTCATGAACCACACTCTTAGGAATTGTGAGCAGCCTACTCCTACTAAACTCCTACTAAAGGAAAGTTAACACTTAAAGTGTACTTAGGTAATTTAGAGATCAAAATGTACATTTATTCACACATAAGAATGAAGTCACAGGATTTCACCAGTGGAAATCTGAGCTTTATGGTAACTGTAATTTTGGCAAGCATATAGCAAAACCGGTTTCCATGAAATTCCCTTTTCCCAAGAAATTTGTTACGTATTAAATCTTTAAAATCTTGCCTACCTTAGAACAAAATGCTGCTGATAATACTATGAGGGGGCTTGTGGACAGGATCACAAGTGTAAGTTTCCATCCTTTCACAAAGCCAATCACTATGCCTACTGTGAATGTTGACATGTTCTGAAATAGCTGAGCGACTTTGTCTCCAATGCCATCATTGATTTTATTAATGTCTCTAAGGGGGGAAAAAAAGCAATTTTTTCAGCTGAAGATAATATAGATATTACTCTAAACTATCTCTCTCTCTCATTTTTATTAGGGCTGTCAAGTGGTTAAAAATTATTTGACATTAATCATGCTGTTAAATCAGGGATCAGCAACCTTTGGCACACGGCCCGTCAGAGAAAGCCACTGGCAGGCCGGGATGGTTTGTTTACCTGCAGTGTTTGCAGGTTCGGCCAATCGCAGCTCCCACTGGCCGCAGTTTGCCATTCTAGGCCAATGGGGGCTGTGGGAAGCGGCAGCCAGCACATCCCTCAGCCCACGCCACTTCCCGCAGCCCCCATTGGCCTGAAACGATGAACTGCTGCCAGTGGGAACTGCGATTGGCCAAACCTGGAGATGCTTCAGGTAAACAAACTGTCCTGGTCCACCAGCAGCTTTCCCTGACGGGCCACATGCCAAAGGTTGCCGATCCCTGTGTTAAACAATAGAATACCATTTACTTAAATATTTTTGGATGTTTTCTACATTTTCAAATCTATTCATTTCAATTACAACACAGAATACAAAGTGTACAGTGCTCACTTTATATTCTCAATTACAAATATTTGTACTGTAAGAAAACAAAATAAATGGTATTTTTCAATTCACCTCATGCAAGTACTGTAGTGCAATCTCTTTGTCATGAAAGTTGACCTTAGAATGTAGAATTATGTACAAAAAATAAATTCATTCAAAAACAAAACAATGTAAAACTTTAGAGCCTACAAGTCCACTCAGTCCTACTTCTTGTTCAGCCAATTGCTCAGACAAACAAGTCTGTTTACATTTGCAGGAGATAATTCTGCCCAATTCTTGTTTACAATATCACCTGAAAGTGAGAACAGGCGTTTGCATGGCACTTTTGTAGCCAGCATTACAAGGTATTTGCGTGCCAGATATGCTAAACATTCACATGTCCCTTCATGTCTTGGTCACCAATCCAGAGTACATGCTTCCATGCTGATGACATGTCAAAAAATGTGTTAATTAAATTTATGACCAAACTCCTTGGGGAACAGTTGTATGTTCCCTGCTCTGTTTTATCCACCTTCTGCCTATATTTCATGTTATAGCAGTCTCGGATGATGACCCAGCACATGTTGTTCATTTTAAGAACACTTTCACTGCAGATTTGACAAAACACAGAGGGTACTGATGTGAGATTTCTAAAAATAACTACAGCACTTGACCCAAATGTTTAACAATCTGAAGTGCCTTCCAAAATCTGAGGGATGAGGTGTGGAGCATGCCTTTAGAAATCTTAGAAGAGCAATACTCTGATGTGGAAACTACAGAACCCGAACCACCAAAAAAGAAAATCAACCTTTTGACTCAGATGATGAAAATGAACATGCTTTGGTCCATACTGCTTTGGATCATAATTGAGCAGACCCCATTATCAGCATGGACGCATGTCCTCAGGAATGGTGGCTGAAGCATGAAGGGACATATGCATCTTTAGCACATCTGGCACGTAAATATCCTGCGATGCCAACTACAACAGTGCCATGCGAAAGCCTGTTCTCACTTTCAGGTGACATTGTAAACAAGAAGCAGGTAGCATGATCTCCTACAAATGTAAACAAATTTGTTTGTCTGAGTGATTGGCTGAACAAGAAGTAGGACTTGAGTGGACTTGTAGGTTTCAAAGTTTTACATAACTGCACTCAAAAACAAAACAATGTAACAAAAAATCTACATTTGTAAGTTACACTTTCATGATAAAGAGATTGCGTGACAGTATTTGTGTGAGGTGAACTGAAAAATACTATTTCTTTTATCATTTTTACAGTGCAAATATTTGTAATAGAAATATAAAGTGAACACTGTACATTTTGTATTCTGTATTTTAATTGAAATAAACATATTTGAAAATGTAGAAAAACGTCCAAAATATTTAATAAATTTCAATCAGTATTCTATTGTTAAACAGTGCGATTAAAACCGCAATTAATTTTTTGAGTTAATTGCGTGAGTTAACTGATTAAAATCGACAGCCCTAATTTTTATATATACACATTTTGTAGCACAGTATTTAATTATTACTGTTACCCCTTTTGGCCCAACTGGCTAGCCAAAAATTTGGGGTCTTGCAGATTTTCAATTTATCCTCCTAACTGGAACAATGGAATCAACTACCTTTGATGCAATCTTGTTTATTTGCAAGGAATGTACAAAGTAATCCTCCACAACACTTACGTACATGCTTAATTTTAAGCATGTGAGTAATCCCATTAACTTCAGATAGAGTTAAGCACATGAGCATCTGCAGGATCAGGGCTGAGGTCAGGCAGATATCTAATAATTTGATTTATTTATTACCCTATCACAGTTTGTGAGTGCACTTTACAAGACTTAAGGTTGGGTCTGCTCATATTTCCTGTAATATGGGGGAAAAAAGTACCCTAGGCTCTTTGTCGTTAAAGCTGTAGTCGACAAGTTCAGATCTCAGGCCTGGTCTACACCTAAAAACTTCAGCTGACCCAGCTACCTTGCTCAGAGCTGTGAAAAATTTCACACTCTTGGGAGAGATAGTTAAGACAGCCTATGCCTTGGTGTAGGCACTGCTAGGATGACAGAAGAAATCTTTCATTAGCCTAGCAACTGCCTCAAGGGGGTGAATGAAAAATAGTGATGGAAAAACCCCTTCTGCTGCTGCAGCAAAGGTCTGCACCACACTAGGACTTTAGGTCGAATTTAGCAGCGTTAAATCGATTTAAACCTGCACCCGTCCACACATTGAAGCCCTTTATTTCGACTTAAAGGGCTCTTAAAATCGATTTCCTTACTCCACCCCTGACAAGTGGATTAGCGCTTAAATCGACGTTGCCGGCTCGAATTTGGGGTACTGTGGACACAATTCGATGGTATTGGCCTCCGGGAGCTATCCCAGAGTGCTCCATTCTGACCGCTCTGGACAGCGCTCTCAACTCAGATGCACTGGCCAGGTAGACAGGAAAAGAACCGCGAACTTTTGAATCTCATTTCCTGTTTGGCCAGCGTGGCAAGCTGCAGGTGACCATGCAGAGCTCATCAGCACAGGTGACCATGATGGAGTCCCAGAATCGCAAAAGAGCTCCAGCATGGACCGAACGGGAGGTACGGGATCTGATCGCTGTTTGGGGAGAGGAATCCGTGCTATCAAAACTCCGTTCCAGTTTTCGAAATGCCAAAACCTTTCTGAAAATCTCCCAGGGCATGAAGGACAGAGGCCATAACAGGGACCCGAAGCAGTGCCGCGTGAAACTGAAGGAGCTGAGGCAAGCCTACCAGAAAACCAGAGAGGCGAACAGCCGCTCTGGGTCAGAGCCCCAAACATGCCGCTTCTATGATGAGCTGCATGCCATTTTAGGGGGTTCAGCCACCACTACCCCAGCCGTGCTGTTTGACTCCTTCAATGGAGATGGAGGCAATACGGAAGTAGGTTTTGGGGACGAAGAAGATGATGATGATGAGGAGGTTGTAGATAGCTCACAGCAAGCAAGTGGAGAAACCGGTTTTCCCGACAGCCAGGAACTGTTTCTCACCCTAGACCTGGAGCCAGTACCCCCCGAACCCACCCAAGGCTGCCTCCTGGACCCAGCAGGCGGAGAAGGGACCTCTGGTGAGTGTACCTTTTAAAATGCTATACATGGCTTAAAAGCAAGCATGTGAAAGGATTACTTTGCCCTGGCATTTGCGGTTCTCCTAGATGTAGTCCTAAAGCCTTTGAAAAAGGTTTCTGGGGAGGGCAGCCTTATTTCGTCCTTCATGGTAGGACACTTTACCACTCCAGGCCAGTAACACGTACTCGGGAATCACTGTAGAACAAAGCATTGCAGTGTATGTTTGCTGGCATTCAACCAAAATCCATTCTTTATCTCTCTGTGTTATCCTCAGGAGAGTGAGATATAATTCATGGTCACCTGGTTGAAATAGAGTGCTTTTCTTCAGGGGACACTCAGAGGAGCCCATTCCTGCTGGGCTGTTTGCCTGTGGCTAAACAGAAATGTTCCCCGCTGTTAGCCACAGAGAGGGGAGAAGGTTGAGGGGGTAGTCACGCGGTGGGAGGAGGCAAAATGCGACCTTGTAATGAAAGCACATGTGCTATGTATGTAATGTTAACAGCAAGGTTTACCCTGAAAGAGTGTAGCGACTGTTTTATAAAATGTGTCTTTTTAAATACCGCTGTCCCTTTTTTTTTCTCCACCAGCTGCATGTGTTTCAATGATCACAGGATCTTCTCCTTCCCAGAGGCTAGTGAAGCTTAGAAAGAAAAAAAAACGCACTCGCGATGAAATGTTCTCTGAGCTCATGCTGTCCTCCCACACTGACAGAGCACAGACGAATGCGTGGAGGCAAATAATGTCAGAGTGCAGGAAAGCACAAAATGACCGGGAGGAGAGGTGGAGGGCTGAAGAGAGTAAGTGGCGGGCTGAAGACAGGGCTGAAGCTCAAATGTGGCGGCAGCGTGATGAGAGGAGGCAGGATTCAATGCTGAGGCTGCTGCAGGACCAAACCAGTATGCTCCAGTGTATGGTTGAGCTGCAGCAAAGGCAGCTGGAGCACAGACTGCCACTGCTGCCCCTCTGTAACCAACCGCCCTCCTCCCCAAGTTCCATAGTCTCCACACCCAGACGCCCAAGAACGCGGTGGGGGGGCCTCCGGCCAACCAGCCACTCCACCACAGAGGATTGCCCAAAAAAAAGAAGGCTGTCATTCAATAAATTTTAAAGTTGTAAACTTTTAAAGTGCTGTGCTTAAGGTGCTGTGTGGCATTTTCCTTCCCTCCTCCACCACCCCTCCTGGGATACCTTGGTAGTCATCCCCCTATTTGTGTGATGAATGAATAACGAATGCATGACTGTGAAGCAGCAATGACTTTATTGCCTCTGCAAGCAATGATTAAAGGGAGGGGGGGAGGGTGGTTAGCTTACAGAGAAGTAGAGTGAACCAAGGGGCGGGGGGTTTCATCAAGGAGAAACAAACAGAACTTTCACACCGTAGCCTGGCCAGTCATGAAACTGGTTTTCAAAGCTTCTCTGATGCATACCGTGCCCTCCTGTGCTCTTCTAACCGCCCTGGTGTCTGGCTGTGCGTAACCTGCAGCCAGGCTATTTGCCTCAACCTCCCACCCTACCATAAACGTCTCCCCCTTACTCTCACAGATATTGTGGAGTGCACAGCAAGCAGTAATAATAGTGGGAATATTGGTTTCGCTGAGGTCTAAGCGAGTCAGTAAACTGCGCCAGCGCACCTTTAAACGTCCAAATGCACATTCTACCACCATTCTGCACTTGCTCAGCCTGTAGTTGAACAGCTCCTGACTACTGTCCAGGCTGCCTGTGTACGGCTTCATGAGCCATGGCATTAAGGGGTAGGCTGGGTCCCCAAGGATACATATAGGCATTTCAACATCCCCAACAGTTATTTTCTGGTCTGGGAATAAAGTCCCTTCCTGCAGCTTTTGAAACAGACCAGAGTTCCTGAAGATGCGAGCGTCATGTACCTTTCCCAGCCATCCCACGTTGATGTTGGTGAAACGTCCCTTGTGATCCACCAGAGCTTGCAGCACTATCGAAAAGTACCCCTTGCGGTTTATGTACTCGGCGGCTTGGTGCTCCGGTGCCAAGATAGGGATATGGGTTCCGTCTATAGCCCCACCACAGTTAGGGAATCCCATTGCAGCAAAGCCATCCACTATGACCTGCACATTTCCCAGGGTCACTACCCTTGATATCAGCAGATCTTTGATTGCATGGGCTACTTGCATCACAGCAGCCCCCACAGTAGATTTGCCCACTCCAAATTGATTCCCAACTGACCGGTAGCTGTCTGGAGTTACAAGCTTCCACAGGGCTATCGCCACTCGCTTCTCAACTGTGAGGGCTGCTCTCATCTTGGTATTCATGCGCTTCAGGGCAGGGGAAAGCAAGTCACAAAGTTCCATGAAAGTGCCCCTATGCATGCGAAAGTTTCGCAGCCACTGGGAATCGTCCCAGACCTGCAACACTATGCGGTCCCACCAGTCTGTGCTTGTTTCCCGAGCCCAGAATCGGCGTTCCACAGCATGAACCTGCCCCATTAGCACCATGATGCATGCATTGGCAGGGCCCATGCTTTCAGAGAAATCTGTGTCCATGTCCTGATCACTCACGGGACCGCGCTGACGTCGCCTCCTCGCCTGGTATCGCGTTGCCATGTTCTGGTGCTGCATATACTGCTGGATAATGCGTGTGGTGGTTAATGTGCTCCTAATTGCCAAAGTGAGCTGAGCGGCCTCCATGCTTGCCATGGTATGGCGTCTGCACAGGTAACTCAGGAAAAAAGGCGCGAAATGATTGTCTGCCCTTGCTTTCACGGGGGGAGGGAGGGAACGGGGGGCTGACGATATGTACCCAGAATCACCCGCGACAATGTTTTAGCCCCATCAGGCATTGGGATCTCAACCCAGAATTCCAATGGGCAGCGGAGACTGCGGGAACTGTGGGATAGCTACCCACAGTGCAACGCTCCGGAAGTCGACGCTTGCCTCGGTACTGTGGAAGCGCTCCGCCGAGTTAATGCACTTAATGCACTTAGAGCATTTTCTGTGGGGACACACACACTCGAATATATAAAACCGATTTCTAAAAAACCGACTTCTATAAATTCGACCTAATTTCGTAGTGTAGACATACCCTAAGGGTAACAGCAGCACTGCAGACATTCCCTCAGTTACATTAGTGTAAATTCAGAGTAACTCAAGCGAAGGCAAGAGTTACTCTTAATTCCCAGTGGTGAAACTGATGGCAGTATTAGCCCACAAAATACCTGTATAAAGGCCCATTTTACACAGGTGTAGCCTATTAGTCCCCACTCAGCCCCAGTTTAGTCACTACTAAATAGTTGCGCCCCGCAAAATGTTCTTAATGCAAACAAGGCTTAACTGTCCAGGATTAGAGCTGGGTGAATATTTTCTGGTTGAATGAATCAATTTGGCAATTTAGGTTGAATTTGGTGAACACTTTTAGGTGAATACAATATTAAAAAAAAAAAAAGTCAAAAAGGTTCATTCTGACATTTTCCAAACAAAATGTTTCAACTTTTCATTTTGAAATACTGTTTTGTTTAGAAATTTAGTTAGATTGGTTAAACTCAGGTTTTGTTTCTGGTTGAACAAAATGTTTCATTTGACCAGAAATTGTTTTTTTTCTTCATTTTGGCAACCAAAAAAAAAAAAATCAGTTTTTCTTTGACATGAAAGAAATTTACACTTATTATTTATTTTTCTCCTCAGATTTTTTGGTTTGACCACGGAAGCAAAAAAACAAAAAACAAACCGAAACCATTTGCTCTTCTCTATCCAGAATTTCACATTCAGGGGAAATATATACAGCTCAGGCACAAGAACAAAGAGAAATGCTCTCAGAAGGCTTAAAAACTGACTACGGATACGGTTCTGCAATCTCTACCCACTGGGACTACTTGAGGGCTGCAGTACAGGGCCCCAAACAAACAAAATACAAAGACTCTTACTCAGTCAGACGTGTGTTAAGCTCTCCACTATTACTGCTATCGAACCAGCTGAGTTCCTGTCCAAGAATTGCATGGAAGAAAGTTTTTCTTATTTTCTTTGTCTGCCTTGCTGCTGCCAAAACCCAAAACGAAATCTGTAGGTAGCCAAACACTAAGGCAGTCACTCCAATTCCGACATAATATAAAGCGAACCTTAAAAAAAAAAAAAGTATTTTAAATTGTGGCAACTTGGAAGAAAGGGAACTTGGTTATTGTTATAAATAAAAAGGTAATATAATTTTGCATCTAAGGTTATGTCTACACTACTGCCTATGTCACCAAAACTTATATCACTCAGAGGTGTGAATATTCCACTCCCGAGTGACATACTTACTCTGACATAAGTCCCAGTGTGCACAGCACTGTATCCATAGCTTATGCCAGTCTCAGGAGTGTTTTTATTATGCCAATGGGAGAGAGCTCTCCTGTCGGTATAGAGCATCTTCACCACACACACTGCAGTGGCGAAACTGTACCACCACAGCTGCAGCGTGATATGTGTAGACATGGCCTAAGGGTTTCACTGCAAAATCCCAAATTCCTGTGGCGATGTTAACCACAGACCTTTATCTAGCAAAAGCTGAGGCCTGATTCCTTCACAGTGGTATAACTCCACTCAACTCCGTGCAAGTGTGAGCAGAATCAGGCCTCTGATATGCAGATAATATTGCTGTCCCCTGGCTGCGTGGTGATTGATTTCAGGGCTTTGCAGCAGGTCAGTTTCTGTTGTTGGAGAGAAGTTGATGTCTGGGAGTCAGGTCTGATGTAATTTGTTTATTTACGCTATAAAAATGATGCTATCTACACGCGTAGGTGAGATTTGTGGTTCTTATACAGAGGCAGACTCCACCTGTCACAACGAGCTCTGGAAACCCCAGCTCAGTCACCACATCCACTCCCAACCACTAGGAACAACTGCTTCCTTTGCTGTTCCTACAGGTCTTCCCCCTCCTTCCCCGCCCCCCCAGTTAAGCAGCGCTTTCCCCTCTTGGCTGCCCTACGTCACCCTCCAGTCAGGAGCTGGAAGGGCAGCAGTAGATTCACCCTCAACAGACTCACCACTCTGTCCTCTGCTGACCTCTCACTGCTCAGCTGATTCCGCACGATACACATTGTAAATCTAAGAGCCTATTACTGTTTGGTCAGAGTTCCTATCTTTTTCTGCACTGAAGATTAAAACCTTTTCATCATCGTTATGGAAAAGGCCAATAAAAATGTTACATCTTCGGAGGCTAAGGAGTTTAAATGGCTATTCATTACTTCACAATTCTACATGAAGCTCCTGAAATCCCATCATTTGCTCTCCACAGCACTCAGCTATTTCTTCCCATTCTGTCACTTTCATCAGCTTTACACCAGAGTAACTCCAATCAATGCAGCAGGAGTTATCCTGATTTACAGCAACATATGTGAGCAGAGAATCAGGTTCATTCATTTTATTTTATTCATGAGGTAAAATGGTTGGGACAGAAGTGAAAGTAGTCATGGGGATATAATTCAATACAGCAGATAAGTCTGGTTCTCTCAGCTATAGGAAAGGTGATGAATAATAACTTCTATCTAATGCTATTAACTATCTCCACTGGCAGTTTACTTAGAGTCTGTTATCTGTTGTACCCTTAACAGCTGTTAGTCAACGCAAAGTTAATAATTACTTTGAACTTACTCTGTCATTTGCTCTTCAAAAGGCACTTGTGACTGACTGCAGTTCACTGAACTTGCTGAAAAAAAAAAGATGTTTAAAAGTTATGTAAGTTTTTAGAGAGACAAGGTGGGTGAGGTAATGTTTTTATTGGACCAGCTTCTATAGGTAAGACTGACAAGCTTTCAAACTTACACAGAGCAGGCCTGAAGAAGAATTCTGGGTAAGCTCAAAAGCTTGTACTGGACAAGCTTGGTGAGAGAGACAAGATATTACCTCACCCATCTCATCTCTAATATCTCAATATCAAGATATAGTGTTTAATTTGTAACGAAAGAGGTGCTGGGGCTCAAGCAATTTTTTTTTTTACATTCATAACTGACGTGGCAAATCCAGAGGTGCTGAGATTATGAAGTGCCAAGTCTAGAGATGCCAGGGCTCAGACCTGGCACAAAAATTAAGCACTGCCAACACGGCTACACCACCACCACATACAACAATGTAAGTTGTTAATTATTTTTTGTTTCTCCACACCAGTACGTGTTGTGACAACATGCAGTATCATTTCATTTATTACAACATTCCACTGAAATTGAAAGTTGTAGCATACCTGCTATGCCCATTTAAATTATTTTGTGCCTGACATACAGGCCTGGTGTGTTAATCAGCAGCAAAGAGGTTAAACTCAGTAATTGTCACATTATCATATCACCATTAAAATTATATGCCTGTGTTTCACTTACATGTAGATTTCGGCATCCCCCCACCCCCTCATGCTCAAAAGCGACACTGAATAGCTGAAAATAATCACACAAACATATTCATTAAAAACACTTATGCAGGGTAATACTTTTTAGCCCAGATTTATCCAGTTTACATCCACTTTTGCCTACATAAGCTAAGATGGTGGTTGTTTATAAGGTAAAACGTAAGCTCTAAAAACACCTTTTAAACATCAGAAATGTCAAGTCTTGTCTTCTCTGTCTTACTGGAGTATACATTAGATAGCCAGAGGGCTGAAGGTCTCACTGCCTTCAATTGAAGAGGCACCCATGTTGAATTTCCTATGGAGAGACCTTTTCTTCTCTCAACTGTTTCTCAGACCTTTGAGTTACACAGGTGTTTTTGTTTATATCGGATTAAAATTCTTCCCTCCTTAGTTGCTCAGGTTTCCCCCAATATAATAATCCCACTAATTCTGTAGGCATCATAGAGTCTCTCCAGGCTACGGGGGTAAACACCACCTGAATTTCTAAAATAACACAGCAAACAGAAAAAATGTGCATCTTTTTTTAAAAAAAGAGAGCGTAAGAAAGGGAAAACTCCCTTTCAGGCTATTGTACATTGCTGGTGACCTTCTGGTTCTGAGTACCATAAAAATAAGAGGCTATTATTTATAATTAGAATTAAATGAGTTTACAAAGCACAAACCAATGGATCACTATCTACTCCGGGGATGGCTTTTCCCTGCATTGTCTGGATTCCCCGGTAGCAAAGAGCTCTTAGAAGTCTTGTTGCCATGGGCTACATGCTCTGCTCTTCTCTTCTCTTTGAGGGTGATAGAAGCCACTGAGGGAAGTAAATGCCCCCTCCCCCCTGCTTCCGTGCTCCCCATCCCAGCTCTGCCTTTTTTCACTGTCCTCTACCTGTACAAATGAAGTGGGGAGAGAGGTTCCAGACCCATGGTTATAACATTAAGTTACCGAGCACCATCAACCTGAATAAAGTAGAGCAGAAGCCTTTATTTCCATAGGCAACACAGCTAGTGAATCTTGAAGAATACTAATGGGTCACCACTATCTGTAGAAAGAAAAGGAGTACTTGTGGCACCTTAGAGACTAACCAAAGGAAGATGATGTCTGTCTGTATCTTTACAAGTTTTTTCATGCAGTTGATAGATTTCCACTCAATATGGCTAAATGCAGTGCCTTGCATAATGACAGGTTTCAGAGTAACAGCCGTGTTAGTCTGTATTCGCAAAAAGAAAAGGAGTACTTGTGGCACCTTAGAGACTAACCGTATCTGTACAAGTTTTTTCATGCAGTTGATAGATTTCCACTCCATATGGCTAAATGCAGTTAGTCTCTAAGGTGCCACAAGTACTCCTTTTCTTTTTGCGAATACAGAATCAAGGAGAATAGTGGGATAGGAATTTATTAAAATCAGTAACTCTTCTACATAAGCATTTTTTCAGGAAGACACTGCCCATTGTTGTAAGGTGGAATCATCCCTGTGCAGAGGCCTGCAACACCGCTTAAGTCCTCTCAAGGACTATTAAGCCTTATGTGAGATTTGTAGCGAGAGATGAATTTCACCTATAAAACGAATGGCCATGATGAGTGAAGTTTAAACATATAAAAGAAACTGAAGAAATTTACTAAGTTAACATGAAGACTTACTACCTCCCAAACTTTTCTCTAAGGTAAGGATGATCATTACTTAGCCATGAAAATACCCACATATCCAAGCACTGCTACAGGAATAAAAAGAAAACAGACAAATTAGACTTACTTTTAGCCCTTCCTTTCACAGGAAAGCTAAGGTGATCATAAGGAAATAAATGGGTGAGGAACATATCATGAACAAAAGCAAAATAAAGAAAGTATATGAACAGTTTCCTTACGTAAACTCTCCTCGGATATACAACCACTCACAAAACTGTCGCTCATTTCACCAAAAACCAGTGACATCAGAGGAAGGCAAACGCCATTCAGCACTGCTGCTATTGTTCCAAATATCATAAGAGTTATATCCAGCCCGTCTGCATATCGAAACTGATGGGAATCAGTAAAAGAAGTAAATATCAGATTATTTTACTCAGTGGAAACCAGCATGACTTCCTAGTTGTCTGAAAGTTAATAAAATAAACTATTTACAATAAAATGTAAGGAAGTTAATGCTCTGATTCTTTTAACATTAGAATAGTATTTTGGATTATATGTTATATCATCATCAATGGAAATATAAAAGAGGTATAGAAAAATTCAAGTGGCTGCTCTCCTATGTTACCCTGTGTGGTGAAACGCTTACAGATGGCATTAGGAGTGCTTCATATGCATGGAGAGCAGCATTTGTAATTAGTTGTTACAGAGTTAACTACAATTCTAAAGCAGCTGACGGACAAAAATGAATGTAACAAACCTGGAATAATATCATTTTTGGAAGAAATGAAAACTCACATTTCACTGCATGTGTACTAGACCAACATGTAGTTACTATCATTACAAGTTTGTATTCTTGCTTACAATTGTGATTGGACCAACGATTTCAGGTGGTTTGCTTTTTTCTTCTTTTTCTTTGTGTCTGCTGAAAGATAGAAATTAAACACGGAACACAAGGTTGGCACAAATATGTACAACATTTTACTTCCTAGCTATCTTATGTACTTATATAGCCCCCATTGCCATAAGTAAGCGGGGGAATACTCCTGCTCTTGTGCGGAACTTTCCTGGCTTCTGCGCTACCCCGGTGAAGTGGGCTAGCGAAAGGATCTGAGTCCTCGCTCCCACTTCCTTTACCCAGTGGCCTCCCTTGAGGACTCCCCTTCCACTCTCCTGTCTGGCAGAGTCCTCGTAACCCCAACAAGGCTGGACCCAGGATTCCTGGGAGGCTCGACCCCCAACCCTGCTGCGGTCACCTAGGACAGGGGCTAGGGTGTCCCCTCTCCGGGGTACTCTCTCTGCACTGGGCACTTCTCTGACCCACTGACCATTACATACAAGTTAAAGCAAATGCAAGTTATCTAATCAACAATTAACTTTAAAAAGAATAAGGAAAAATGGGAAAGGTTAAAGGAAACACATCAACTCGCTCTGTGGCAGGGAACATCACAAACGGTGTCTCTGGAATGTCAGGGCAGTTCACAGTCTGTTCCTTGTAAGTCCCAGGCCTTCTTCTCAGGCCTGGCTGTGCTGCAGGGATGCTGTGGGTTGGACACTTGCTCTGGTGGTGGCCACACGCTCTCAGGCTCTAAGTGGTAGGCCCCTTCTTCCCAGTGTCAACCCCGTCCTGTCGGGGTTACGATCCAAGCCTGGCCTGCAGAGCCTCTTGGCTGAGGCGTCTCCCTCTGCTGGGCCCGCTGCCCAGGGTCCCCCTCGCTCTCCCCAGCTGCTCACCGCACCCAGCTCCAGACTGCTCCAGCCCCAGCTCCACCACTCGGTCTCTGCACTGCTGCTGCCGCTGCTGCTCTGGCCCCTCTGGCTCTGGTTGCTGCAGCTCTGCTCCCAGGACAGGGTCTGCTCTCTCTGGGCTGCTTTTCTGGTCCCTCTGGATCTGGCACAGCTCTGCTCCCCAGCTCAGCTTGGGCCCCTGCTCTCTCCTTAGCTTGGCCCCACTCTGTCTGACCCAGGCAAATCCAGCTCACACGGAGGATGGGACCTCCCTGGCCTCCTGACTCCCTGATTAGCCTGCCCGCCCTGTCATTCAGGCTGACCTGGAGCATTGGCCTCTCCACATTGTTCCTGGGGGCTGTCAGTCTCAGGGTCCTGATTCCCCATCGACCCTTCCCCCTTTTTAGTACTGGGAGCTAGACAACCAAAGCACCCCCAATGAATGTTAGTAAGGGGGCAACAGTCCCCTTACACATAGGATCTGAGTGTATCACAGTATTTTAAGAGACACACAACACTCACACTCACAACACCCTTGTGTGGTAAGGAACTACTATAATCCCTGCTTTGTAGATGGGGGATGAAAGACAGGGAGATTAATGACAAAACTATCAGGATTCCACCACTGACTTCAATACATTCAGGAGTTCACATCACGTGACTTGCCCAAGGTCATACAGGAAGCCTAGAGCAATGCAGGAAACTGAACCCAAGTCTCCTGAGTCACAAAGTAGTGCTGTAACCACTAGTCCATTTGTGTTGGCTCTAATACGATTTGAACTTGGGCTGTTCTAGCAGACATGGTAACCACTGAACCTTAATGGGATCTTAAAACAAAATATAAAAAACACAAATTGCAAAAGAAAAAGAGTATGTAGTAAGTAGGCAACACAAATTAAAGCCATGATCCTGCAAGTGCTCCATGTGGCTGGATCCCTATATCCATATGGAGGTGGTGTCAATATCAGGACCATGGGGCTTGATGATCCTAAAAGCTCTTATCCACATCAGTAGTTTTTATTTGTGTGATGTTTGCAGTGTTGGTATAGCTGTGTTGGTCCCAGGATATGAGAGACACACCGTAGATAGGGTAATATCTTTTAGTGGACCAACTTCTGTTGGTGGATAGCTCAGTCTTGTTCTTTCCACCAGTAGAAGTTGGTCCACTAAAAGAGACTACTTCACCTACTTTGTCTCTCTTTATTCATGTGGAGTAATTCTATTGATTCAAGTGGGAAAATTTATGTGACTGGGGTGGGGGGGGGGCAGGAGGGAGGGGTTGAAAGACTCACATGTAGATCTCCTCACCTAAATTAATTCCAACCCCCAGAAATTATATATTATCTTTGGGAGACACACAGTTTTGTGTTTTGGGGAAGAAGGGTTGCAAATCTGTTCGTAAAGAAGGAAATTATACAACTGGGATAGTAAAAACATTACTGTTGTTTTGTTTCTTTTTTTTTTTTGCACAGGTAACATAAGATGTTCATTTCTTCGCCAAAGCTGGATTAGTAATATAAAATAAAAATGTAACTTGATTTTCTGGGAATCATATTAAAAGACAAGAAATTAAGGCCCAAACTTTAGTAGTTGTTTCTTTTAAAGCAACAGTCCTCCAGGTCTCTCTGGTGGGAGGGAAGGAGAGGGGACAGAGGTCCCAGCCAGTCTCTCTCACCTGGGGTAGGTCCTTGGAGATGGGGAAGAAACAGCTATTGAAGCTGTCAGTGACCAGCATGAGCTGGAGCAGGGATAGGGTGCCCTCCTGGGACACTGGCCTCCGGGACCCCTGGACCCAGCTCTCCAGAACTCCAAGATGCCATCTCCTCACTCTGCTTCCTCCACCTCTTCCACTTCTAGGCCCACTCCGGGAGGAGAGATGGTGGTTTGGGGAAGATACACATTTGCTGCATGGCAATGCAAAATGTGTGTGTGTGGGGGAACCCCATATACACACATGCCTCTCGGAATGCAACGTGTGTGTAAAGCAGGATCCCGGCGATGAGGAAATTGGGAATGCAGCATATGCGCAGAGCTGTGTAGCTTTTGATTAGCTAGTCCCATAGGTCAGTGTGGAGCAAACGTGGCATGTATAGACTTTATCTGTACATGTATTATAAGGAGTATTATAGACTTTTAGCCCCATACACTTTTTGACCTCTGCCACTTGACCCCCTCCTTAGGAAGAGGCTGGCTGGGCCCCTGGTTGGCAGTGAGAAGGGCATGCCAGGGGTGGGGTTGCAGTCTACGTGCTGTCGGCCATAGGGCAGACTGGGGAGACTTTTGGAATTTAGACAGGCCCTCAGGGCTGAGTTTCTCCTGGGGCCTCTCCACCTCACACAGTAGCCCAGAATCGAAAGGGTACAAAAAGTGACTGAATTCTGTGCTGCTTCTCTTAAAGACACAGCACAGAATTTCACTCTGATTGTTATCGTCAGTGACCTTTTAATTTCAAAGCTTTTTTTTTTTTTAAACCACATAGAGGAAAGATGTAAGATACAGTCAAACGAACCACAGTTTGTGGCCCAGCTTCAGCCCAGTGGCTGGCATAGACAGTGACCCTACCAATCTTTGGCAGAAATGACAGCATTCATCCAAAAACTGCAACCCCAAGGAGGCTACCGGGGGCCATCACAACCCACAAGTTGGTGGTACTAGCTGGGGATGCCGCATAGCCATGGGTTGCCAGGATCTGCTGATTCAGCCTCAAAGGGGATTTTATGCCATTTAAAGCTGACTACCCTCAAAAAACCCTGCAGAAGGATAGGTGGTGGCAACACCTTCCTTCAGGGTGAATACCCCCTTCAGGAGTAGGGAGCTACAGGGAGCTGTAATTTACATCTCTGTGAGCCATCTTGTGATTCTAGCCCTTGAGATGTGCTGCCAGACTGGAGTGCATGCCAAAAGCAGAGCAGCATATTGGATATCTTTTTATACATTATTAAGAAATCAATAGAAAGCCTGCACAGTTCCTCTGAGACGAGAAATTAGAGAAAATGGCTGTGTAGGTGGAACACTTGGAAAATCATTCCAACAGCAGCAGTCCCCAGGAGCTCAGATTAGCACAAGTTTACTTAAAATAGAAACAAACACTTTTGTAAAGAACAAGAAATTCAACCCATTTCTGGGCACATGACACAAAACGTTGAGAATTAAAGATGAAATCCACTCTGAAGCCAGTGAGCCTGAACCCAGACTCACTTAAACTGATGTAAATCAGGAGTAATTCCATTGAAGTCAGTGGAATTACACCAGTAGAAAACCTTTGTGAGAAGACAATAAGGCTCATTAGCTGGCGTCTATATGTGCATTACCCTTCTTGACCCGAAAGCTTAGCCAAATTCAGGGTGTTACAAGTTGTTCCAATTAGGAGGGAAAATTGACGATAGAATCAGATGTTTTCTTTGAAGCAAGTTTGTTTATTTACAAGGAATGTCCTGTTTTCCCTGAATACCGGAGGAATCAAACAATGGGAGTTAGTTGTTTGCTTACAGCCCCAAGCCTCTTTAGCCAGCTTCTCCAGACCCAGAAGGCCCTGCTTTTGGCTTCTCCTTGGGTCACACTTTGGATATCCTGTGCTTGTCCAAGCTCTCTCTTTCTCTCGCTGTCTCTGTCTGCTCGTCTCTGAGTATGTCTACACTTAAAATGCTATAGCAGTACAGCTTCAGCACCGCAGCTGTGCCATTGTAGCACTTCAGTGTAGACATTCATTATGGTGATGAGAGGAGTTTGCCCAGCACTCAAGTTAATCCACCTCCTCCACGAGAAGCAGTAGCTAGGTCAATGGAAGAATTCTTCTGTCAACCTAGCACTGGGAGTTAGGTTGGTCTTTCAGGAGTGTAGGTTTTAACCCTTACCCCCAAGAGACATAGTATCTCTGGCTTCTCTCTCATACACACACACCCTTAGCCAAAGGATGCCCAGTCTAGCATTCTGCCTACATAGCTCAAATTCCTGAGTGGCATTGGGGGAGCATGAGCCCATCTTTTTAGACCACTGTTGTTTCTTACCCTGAATGAAGGGTGACTGCTTCACTCATCAGTTTAAGGGGCTTTAAACCAGCTACGACACCTGCTTCATTCTGAAAGCTACACTAAGGTTGTTTGAGACAGTTTGTCCCACTGAGCTATTGAAAAAAAAAATCAACCCAAACAACATACAAAGCCAAACTCGGACAAGAGGTGAGACCCAAACACTTACCTGTCATCTACAACCACATTAGTAGAATACTTTGGTGCCTGTCCAGCGATTTCTATGTCAAAGTCTTCCATAATTATGTGGATAGATTATTCTAAAATAAAATGCAGTGCTGTTAATATCATTACTCATCACGAAATCCAATATAGGACACACTTTGTTTAGGTGACACCAATGAGAAATCTCAAATATAACAACTTTATATTAGATATATTATTCGCTTGTTCATTGAACCTTTTTAAAAAATTATTAAAAACAGGATTAACATGTTGTGACATTATCTGATTAAAATCTGACCATATAGATCATTGTTGCAACCACTGTTATATATTTGCAACAAATCTTGTACAAAATGTGGTATGTAAGATGTCTATGGAAAGGTTATGATTTTCTGCATAGGATTATGCTATTTGTATGCATGTATCATTTTGGATTTGAAGTTATGAGTATTGGCTCTATACCTGTATTTCAAATGTTTGGTCCTGGGGTAACACCCAGAAGGTATTTAGCCAGCACATCTTGAAGGAACTATTCAAGTAGATTGGCCCATTAAAGTTCACTTAACTTACAATGGAAGATGCCTATCTACTCTTAATGGACTTTCCTGCTGTGACTAGGTGAAATCATGCATGGACATTTGACTTGTCCACGTGACTCCAAACACCATCTTGTTGCTGCCAGTTTCCACAGTAAGAACAATGGGATTCTCTCCACACGGCAGAAGATATAAAAGGCCCTGGAAACACCTCCATTTTACTCTTTCCTGCTCAGACTTCTGGACTATGAACTTATACTAATGGGAGCATTCTAACCAAGGGACTGAGGTCCTTCCAATGATTTGGAAGCAACCAGAGACTTTCCAAGCCAGCATTTTATTCCATCACTGCCACAAGCCTGAACCAAGAATAGGGTTGCCAACTTTCTATTGGCACAAAACTGAACACCCTAGCCCTGCCCCCTCCCCGAGGCCCCATCCCACTGTCTCCCACTCTCACTCACTTTCACTGTGGTGGGGCAGGGGGTTGGGGTATGGGAAGGAGTAAGTGCTCTAAATGGGGGTGCAGGCTCCAGGGTGGGGCCAGAAACGAGGGGTTCAGGGTGCGGGAGGGGGCTCTGGGCTGGGGCAGGGAGTTGGGGCATGCGAAGGGGTGTGGGCTCTGGGCTGGGGATGAGGGGTTTGGGGTGCAGGAGGAGGCTCCAGGCTGAGGCCAAGGGATTCGAAATGTGAGAGGAGCTATGTGTTGAGGCAGTGGGTTGGGGCGTGGGAGGAATGAAGGCTCTGGGCTCAGGGTGCAGGCTCTGGGGTAGGGCGGGGGATGAGGGGTTTGGGATGCAGGAGTGGATCCAGGTTTGGGGGGAGGACTCATGGCTGGGGCTGGGGTTGGGACATGGGCTTACCTTGGGTGGCTTCCGGTCAGTGGTGCCGTGGGGCTAAGGCAGGCTGCTTGCCTGTCCTGGCTCCATGCTGCACCCTGGAAGTGGCCAGCAGGTCCAGTTCATAGATGGTGTTGGGGAGGAAGCTACATGGCATTCTGCTCTCCCTCTGTAGACACCGCGTCCCAGCTCTCCTGGTTCCCGGCCAATGGGAGTGCGGAGCCGGTGCTCAGGGCGAGGGCAGTGTGTGGAGCCATGTGGTCCCCCCTGCCTAGGAGCCAGACCTGCTGGCAGTTTCCAGGGCACAGCACGGTGGCCCAGGAAAGGTAGGGACCAGCCTGCATGAGTGCTGCAGCACCGCTGACCGGACTTTTCATGGCCCTGTTGGTGGTGCTGACCGGAGCCGCCATGGTCCCTTTTCAACCGGGTGTTCTGGTCAAAAACCGGACACCTGGTCACCCTAACCAAGAACTTTGCATTTATTGTATGTATTTGACTCCTTTAACCAATTTTAACTCTCACCTTTCTTTCTTTTTATAAATAAACCTTTAGATTTTAGATACTAAAGGATTAGCGTGATTTTTGGGTAAGATCTGAGTTGTATATTGACCTGGGTGTGTGGGTGGTCCTTTGAGATCAGAAGAACCTTTTATTTGAGAAGACTGGTTTTAAAGAACCACTCATCTCTAAGTCTAGTGTTTTTGGTGGTGATAGAAGGACTCATATGCCTAAGGAAATTGCTTTTATGACTTCTTGTTCGCCAGTGTGGTGAAACAGAAGTTTACTTTTGATGCTGTTTTGGTATATCTCATGGGAGAATAACCTTCAGTTTTGGGGTGTGTCCACCCTATTTCTCAGCAGTTTGTCCTGAATTTGGTATTCTCAGTTGTGACCCACAAAGGCATGGTTACATGTGTTTTCACCAGTATTACCACTTTTTTCTGGTTTCCCTATTGAATGAGTTGTATTGCTCCCTTCAATTAAATAAGTAGCTATGAGAATCAAAGGAAGTAGCTATTAGTTTGTCTGATAGAAGACACAATAGCTTCAGAAATGTCATATATTACAGACACAGGCACAAGTACAGTGCGAGGAGTACACTTGCTCTATGACATTTTTCCAAGTTCACACTGAGAAAGATGACAAATTATTAGGAAAAAAGCTTACTTATGAAGAGTACTGAAAAGACTGGTATTCTTTCACTTAAAAAGGAGATAAATAAGAGAGGCTATGATAAAAGTATGTAGAATAATGAACGGTATAGAGAAGCTGGATAGGGAAAACATAAGTTCTCAGTCTCATAATACAAAAACAAAGGCCCATCAATCTGGCACCTATTAGTAGCATAAAAAATTGCTTCAAAGTCTTTTTAGGACTATGTCCGGTATAACTGCCTGTACAGTATGTCATTTGTGTCAATTTGAGACCCATTTCTTTTTATACAGGCCCACGCAGAGGAAATTAGAAGCACGGTACCAGGTACCCTGTTTTAGAGATGCCTCTTGCTTTATTCTTCGCTCAGCAAGGGAAAATATTAAACAAGTTATCCAATACCACATTTTTTTTTTTAAAAAAATCACAGCATGCTTTATAAACAGAAACAATTATTTTGCACTGATATGCTAAAAGAATAAGAAATCCCACTATCAGCTCATATACAGCAGTGGAGTATGTAGCTTCAGAGGGTTTTACTGGGCAGCATCCGGAATAGCTCCAGGGTGTGCAGACGATGAACAGTGAATAGCAGGTGCAACTCATTTCAACAGAAATATTAGTTCCAAATTAGAACCAATTTCCTGTCTTTTATCATGGACTGCTTTAATGTATGATTCTATTTTTCCCTTGTTATTATTTCTCTGCTCTGATACAATACTTCCAAGAATATTATTTTCAGTTAATCTTTTACATTTTTCATTTTATTTTATGTATTTACTATTTTTCAGTGCCTCCAACAAAAAATTAGTAAAAAAAATGTTAATTAAGGAAAAATGAAATCACCATCAAAGCAGGAATAATACACTTTAGGCAAAACCATAAGTAAGCAGATGGGCATGGCGCCATGCCCTGATTTAACTAACTCAGGCTCTTTTGGACTAAGGGAGAAAGTAAGTTTCAGAGCTGAGCTCATCTTCCTGATGACAGCTCCTGAGCATTCAAATATAGGACCTCTCAGAACCTAAGGGTACAGCTACACTGCAACTACACTACACTCAGAGTTTGACCACCTGACTCAGGCTCTCACAATGGGGCTACAAATAACAGTGTAGACATTCCTGCTTGGGCTGGAGCCCAGATGCTGGGGTGAAGCGGGTGTCTCTCAGAGCCAGAGACACCTTCCTCCTCTTACTAGGTTTCAGAGCCCCAGCTCCAACTGGAATCGGGAAGTCTACACTGCTATTTGTAGCCCCATTGCACGAGCCTGAATCAACTGAGACTCACTGCCACAGGGTTGTTTTCTGTAGTGTAAATCGACCCTAGTAGCCAATAGGAATTCAGTGCCATCTATACAATGCTAGTACAATATGGTGCATGAAATCCCTGCTAAGCAATTGGGCTCCTTATTCTCTCCCATCTGAAGGGGCTTTAAATGTAGCCAAAAATCTAAAAAAAGGACATACTAGAAATAGAAATAGATGGGGTTCAGAGACAGGTAATGAGATCAGTCAATGGGGACGTGATAGAGACAGGTAATGAGACATCAGAGACAGGTAATGAGATCAATCAGAGGGGACATGATAGAGACATACAAAATAATGAATGTTACAGAAAAGTTAAATCTGATACTCCTGTTTACCTTCTTTCATAAAATGAGAACAGGGGACATTCAATGAAGTTGTAAGGCAGCAAATTTAAAAACTGAAATATTTCATTTCAATTGAACATAATTAATCTGTGGAATTCATTGTCATTAAACATCACTTTGACCGAGACCTTAGACTTGAAAAAAATGATTAGACCTTTATATGGATAGTGAGATTACCAACAGTTACATTAGATGGGTTTTTTTTTAAAGTTAGACCACACATAAACCCCAGTCTAATGCCCATTGATATCAGTGAGACTCATTCCATTTACTTCAATACACATTCAATCAGCCTCAGATTCTCTTATGTTAGGACACAAGCCAGCCTCTGAATGATAAGGTTTACAAAGAATCTTCTAATATGGGGTTTCTTACACCTTCATGGAATCTGACACTGGCCACTGTCAGAGCCAGGATATTGGACTTGCTGGACCATATCTAGCATGGCAATTCCCATACTCCTAAATCTATTAATAACAAACAATTGTGTGTTGTGGTTAACAAGCAAATACCGAATTTGTTTAATTTTTTTCATTTAGGGCCCAATCCTGCTCTCATTGACATGGACAAACACAACTCCCACCCACTTTCAAGTTATCTAAAGTGATCATCTCAAGTTGATGATCACTTTAGATAAGCTATTACCAGCAGGACAGTGGGGTGGGAGGAGGTATTGTTTCATGGTCTCTGTGTGTATATAATGTCTTCTGCAGTTTCCACGGTATGCATCCGATGAAGTGAGCTGTAGCTCACGAAAGCTCATGCTCAAATAAATTGGTTAGTCTCTAAGGTGCCACAAGTACTCCTTTTCTTTTTGCGAATACAGACTAACACAGCTGTTACTCTGAAACCTTTCAATAAAATTGTGCCCCTTCCAAAATGGCCAGCATAAATCGTAGAATCATAGAAATGTAAGGCTGAAAGGGACCTCGAGAGGTCATCTAATCAATCTCCCCATGCCGAGGCAGGACCATGTATATCTAGACCATCCCTCACATGTGTTTGTCTAACCTGTTCTTAAAAACCTCTAGTGACAGGGATTCCACAACCTCCCTAGGTTTTAGGAACAATCTTGCTTTATGAGCAGGATATTCAATAAATATGTTAGTGTCAATATGTTGTTTGCAATATTGTTGTAGCCATATTGGTTCCAGGATATTAAAGACCTTGATATTATTGGTCCAATATAAGATATTACCTCACTCAACTTGTCTCTTGAGTTTTAATACTTTTAAAAAAATGATTTCATAAAAAGGAAGATGACATAACATTATTTTGGAGGAGAAGGAATTGCTGAAGTGATTTAGAGAACAATTGACTCAAGCACCTTCCAGCCTCACACACATTTCAGGTCATTTTAAGCTTATTTCACTGAATCAACACTACCTGAAAGGGTAACATTTATAATTAACATCATACACAGCATGATGTGACAGACAGTAATTGGTACTTAAACTCTTTTGTACATCAGCAAGATTTGAGGTCTGCACCAGGGAGGTAAAAATAAAGAGAAGCTGTAAGTCCCTAATTTAATGTTCTTTAAGCTTACTAAGCCAAATTCTTCCCTGCTGTAAATTCTGCTGCAGTCAATTTACCTGTACCAGGGATGAATTTAGCCCACAAACGACACAAAACAAGCATACTGACCTGATGTGCTGGTAGCTAGCAGGGTTACCTCCACCAGCATATTCCTCATCCACAAATGCTTGAGACCTGTCTATTTTAGGATCAACCAGTACATTATAAATAGAGATAATCTTATGTCAGCCTAATGAGTCATGTCATTGTGATTGCCTATAAAGCAGACGTCAGGCTCAACGGTCAATCTCATTGTGAACTTTTGATATTTCATAATACATTCCAGGAATACTAATTTGTAACAGCAATACCTAGAGATTCACAGTTACGAGGGATTTTTCACACAGACACAATATGAAGAGCAATTAAACTGCTTTACAAAACTGTGTTACTTTTTTTTTTTTTTTTTTTTTACACACATGGAGAGTTTCCTCAGTCCTCCACTATTCCCCATTACAGTATCATGCAAACTCTCCACCCTCTCCCCTGTCCCACACCTATTCTTCCTGTTGATTAGATATGGTGCATTAAGTAGGTTTTGCAAAGAAATTTTAGGTTACTGGTTTAATGGTTATTTCTTGCATTATTCTCCACAGGTCTCCCCAGTTAAGATGGTCACTGTTTACTATTGCTCCCAGTAGGAGTGGAGACATCAGCATTCCTAGAATACAGTGATCCATTTGCTTTCAGGATGCAGAGAGAAGAAACATAAGGAGCAGATGGAAGGAGGAATTGGCCACCTTTAATAAAGAAAGTCAGTCATCTCAGTCCCATTGAAAACAATAAGAGCTGGCTGCCATTTTGAAAGTGGGCAATTTTTGGCAAATTTCTCTAAAAGAGAACATTATTCTTTATCCTCTGCTGAAGGAGAAACTTCAGTGCTGAAAATTAGTGAGAAAAAGTAATCATTAATCACTTAAAGGCTCTTCAGAAAATACCCTACCCTTTGCACCAGATCAGTTCAAGGTTCACCCCCTGCCAATTTTTATGTAGCTAGATAATACCTTACCTGAGATCATTTGGGACAAAACAGGTCTAATACCAAATGTTAAATATCTGAAAGGACCTGTTTAACTTTTTAAATGTAAATTGATTAATAGATTTACTTGTAAGTTCTCATAAAATTCATAGTATACTCAGAGTAAGTGCTGTAGTTTTGGGGAAGATAGTGTTTTCTTCACATGTAGAGCAAGAATTAAATAAGTATAAAACTTAGCTCAACCTTAACTATGGTGCTGTAACCCGTGCCTTCATTTTATGGGCACACATATAGATACACACAGACTAAGATATATTAAAGATTTGTTGCCTTTTTACCCTTTTCCTTGAGGTAACCGTTTTGCCTTTTCAAGCAGTTCTCACACCACGTACAAGACCAGTACACTTGAATCAAACAGCTTTACAAGACACTGAGCCTCTCCCATCAATATGCGTAGAGGATTTCTCTGTTAGCATTAGCTTTTCTGTTTGCTACTGAGATATTTGGCCCCAATATGTCTAATTGACAATCTGGCAAAACACCAAGATTTGATAGGAGGGGCTCTGGGTTTGTATGAAAGCTTTTTCTGTCTTCCTCACTCTGAGTGTTCCTAATCTCTAGGACAGTGAATTTCTTTTATGGGAAACACATTTCACGGATGCTAAAAAACCAATATAGAGCCTGGAGGTATGCATCATTCAAATCAATTTTCCATTTAACAGAGACTTGAAGAGGATGGCTACAATGTGTCTAAATACTGACTCTGGAAAAAAGCTGTACTCTGAATTTATGTACAGTTTTCATAGGAGAAAGATGCTTGTCTGAAAATATGTGCATATTTCTCTCCCCAAATTAGGATCCTAAAAAGTTGCCATCACCTAGTGATGAAGAGATTCATATAATGGAATGGCCTTTTTATTAAGGGCACTTCCAAAAAAATATTATGGCAGTTTGATTAGTAAATGGGACCACGTGTCACATTCTTATCAAAGCAATTTCTCCTCAGGACAATCTCTGCAGAACATTTTGAAAGAGAGAGGAGCATCATGAGGCTGGCCATCCCCATTTCCCCTGTGATCATTTCTTACATTAGCATTTGACCCTGTTCACAACACCAAGGCCAAATTGACTCTCGCAATCCCACAGCAGGTTCCCTACACCAGGTGAAGCTGTATTCCAAAGCATAAAAATGTGATTACCCTTCCTCCCCCTAGGGTTGTGCTCCAACATTTCCCTGAGAGCTCAGCTCTTCATCTCTGCTCGTGCTTCAACACCAACTCCCTTCAGCTACTCGTCACCTTGTGGCATCAGCCTTTTATCCCCTGCTGACTCATGTGCAGCTTTATGGCTCACCACAGGATGCTCTTGCAGCCAGCTTCACCAGGAAAAGAGACACATGTGTGACAGGTTTTGAAAGAGTCACCTACTTCTTCACTGTGCCATGAGAGTAGCTATAGAAACTTAGGCCCAGATCCTCAAAAATATTTAGGCTCCTAACTTCCATTGAAATCAGTAGAAGCTGAGTGTTTAAATGACTTTGAGGAGCTGGGCCTTACTGCAGTTGGCAACTTTGGCAGTTTTGCTTGCCTTCAGCTCTCCCCTACTGTGAGGGTACATGTACTGTTTCTTTGAAACTGTAGCAGGAAGCAAGGCAGGAAAGGGCTGGGGAAGGTTCTAAGCACGGTGGGAGACTGAACGACTTCAAGGACAGTGTTGTTTTTATTTCTAATATAGTTCCTCTCTCATTGTAAGAAGAAAGTGACTCTTCCTGCAATTCTTTATCATGGTCACATGACACCTGCCCTCACCCATTTGCAGGCCAATCAGAAACCAGGTAGAGGGGCAGGTTTTGGAGTTCTGTTTTTGATCCCACTTCCCCTCAGCAACTGAAGCAGCTCCCATGGAGTCGTGGGCCCTAAACACGGTTGGGGAAGGATTTCTGCCCTTGTGAAATTCCACCAGGGATGTTTGCAGTCTTGGCAACCTCAGGGCTTCTCTCTGCTAGAACCCAGATTGCAAATAACCTTAGGTTGTCCCAGAACCCATGAGGTATGAAGACAGCAAACAGCGGTGACGCTATTACACCCACAGATTTCAACAAGGATTTCAATAGGAATCGGTGGAAAGAAGGAGGAAGTTATTTTCTATGAAGCCGCTGGGAAGCCAGCTTCAGACTTGCTGCTACCCACAAATTCCCCAGACCCTTGGCAATCTGTTATCACTGAAATGCCAAACCGAAGGATGCAGCTTTATTATGGTGACAATTCAATGCAGTCAGTGAAGTTCCAGAGTAATGAAGCTGGCAAAAGGGAAGAGATGGACAATTTTATTTGTGAATATTTTTCTAAGGAGAAAATAAAACAAAGGTTAGGAAGTGGCGACGGTTACAACTCAAAGCCTCCAGTCCACTCCCCCAATACTTCAGGTCATTAGCTAGACAATATTCTTTTCTTCCTAATGCTTCGCTGACAGCTCTGACAGAGTTTGTTAGGAATCAGCTACCATTTGGAGTACGTTGGTATTAGAAGCCCCCAGCACTTCATGCGGGCATGAAGGTCAGTGGCACTGAGCTTAGCCACTGGGATTCACTAAGGCTCAGACAGTTCTCATAGGTATTGACTCATAAATTGGCACTTCCCTCAGCCCAGAGCTGGACAAAGCAGAGTATTTATTGACAATCTTCTGGTGTTAATGACATCTCTGCAGACAGACGTGGATTTTTTTTAATAGAAGTTATTTTTTTCCTCATAGTTGTTTGACTAACACTTTATGTTAATATATAGGTTGTTCAAAATTGATCCACTTCGACTCTGTCTTCAGCTCTTTGCTATTCATTATTTGAGATACGCAATTGGTCACCTAAGCCACACAGTATCCTATCTGGTCTCTGGCCGGATGACAAACTTTACAGCCAGGCACTGTTGTGGTTTGAATAGTGAAGACCCTTGTTTGCATGTGCACAAGAATAGTCACCATTGCCACAGATGGTCAAAAAAAAAAAACATTTGAAAATTAAAAATAGTAAAAAACTGAAGTGAAGCTTTGAGAAAATGTCTTCCAACCAGCTGCACACTAACACTGAGGAATGACCAAACAGCCACTAATTTGCACCAATGTTCACAGAAAAGTGAGCAAAAAGGGATGAGGCCAGGGCTAATTCCCAAAGCTATTAAGATTTAGTGAAAATGTTCTAAAAAAAAAAAAACGTTTACCCAGCTCTAATTGACACCGTGGTTCTTTAACATGCAGCTTAAAGATTTGCTAACCTGCTGCAGACTTTGCCTCTGCATGAGAAAGCGACAGAGAGTGTGAATAATTTACCTTCATTGGTCATGCTGAGCAAGCTCTATCTTCTTCTCTTCCTCCCTCTGAGAAGAGCCGATGACTCAGGGGTGGGATTTTCTTTATTTCTGTGGAAAGAGATCACCCTCCTCTTCTAGAGTACTGCATCCAGATGGGGCTCTGCTTCTTAGCCACAGCTGACAAGTGCATTTAGCCTCTCCTCCCTTGGCAGCAGCTAATAGAAGAGGGGATGTGGTCACATCTAAGGTCCAGTCCCACAGGCACTCTTTCTCCTATGCTCCTGATCTGCACCCCCATCCCCCCATCGGAGATCTCCTCACACAGCCATTTCCCAGTAGCCTGTGTTTATAGGTTTTCAAAATATTTTTGGTGTCTGATTTCATTTTCTAATTTACATGCTTTTCTGAAGTCTGGTTTAAAGAAATACAGTCATGCTGAAATTATATATTAATGCAGGTGTTATGAAAGTGAAAGTTTTTTAAAAGTCTAATTTACTTTTTTACCATTTATATCTTCTGCTTACTACCCCTTCACCCCCTTATATTGGGACAATGAAAGCAAACCAGTAGCTGTTGGTTTCAATTTCTAATCTTTTTAACTTTTTACTTGTTCTTATATATTTACAGGATGCTGCAATATTTGGATAGCAAACTCTGGAGGCGATTATTATTGCTGAGAACAAGCTACTGCCATTCTGCTAAAATTAGACTTTTTTAAAAAAAAACAACAATCTTAAAAGTTTAACTTGAGCTGAGATTTCCCTGAAATACTCAGTTACAGATTGGACACTACTTGTGCCTAAAGTTGATCCCATGAATTTGCCAATATGCTAGTTAGATTTTTAAAGCTGAAATCCAAACAAACTAGATTGGCCAATTTGATAAGTGTTTTAGCCAATATTGGAATGGAATCTAGTTAGGTTAACTCCTCTTTTACAGAGTCCAGGGAGCGTTATCTTAATAATTTTAACACTAGGTCATGTCATCTTTTACCTTGGACAGTAAAAAAAAGTCTTAAATCAGGACACTTAGTGCTCTTAACCAATTAACAGTTGATTAATCAATTGATACAACTAATCTTCTAGGCACCTACTGGAAACAAAAATAAAGTTTTGCAAGCAATTGTCAGACTAGGACTGATGTGCAGCAATTATAACACACTACAAGTCATCAAATGTATTACATTACATATGTGAAAAGAAAAGGAGTACTTGTGGCACCTTAGAGACTAACCAATTTATTTGAGCATGAGCTTTCGTGAGCTACAGCTCACTTCATCAGATGCATATGTGATGGATCCTCATTCTTTAGTATATCTAATACATTTGCAATACTTTTCTAGAGAGTAAGGAGAACTGACTTTCGGAGGTCCTATCTTAAAGGCTATTGTAAGAGTGTGGTTCCTGCCATTGGAATGGTTTTGTATGAAAGGGATAAGTTTAGAAAATATCAAAAGCAAATTGCTTAAAGTTATTGTTTTAAGTCTCTTGAGTTAATTTGCCTGGGCTTACAAAGGAAAGCATGCTTCTAGCATTAGTTAAAATCCAAAATGTGGCTACTTGAGGCTTCACTAAAGAGTGTAGGCTCTGTAAAATAGCCTACAGTAATTGATATTCAAGTACAGAAAGCAATACAATCTCCAAAATGAAATCTCACTACCTCTTCTTAGTCCTGCAACACTACAGGAAGGAGAGCTGCTCAGTCTGGTCTGCATGTCTGATAGCTAGAGCCCTGTGAAGTTATTTTTTGTAATATTTCATTTTATCTTTTGGGAATTTCTTTTCTTTTTTTGCATTTCCCCTCACAGCTGGAGGTCCTGTTGGGTGCCAGGAGGGTAGGGATGAGGTATCAGGGTTTACAGAGCAAGCCCTTCCCATACTCACCTCATAGCTGTGGCTTCTGCAGTTCCTGTCCTGTGCGTCTGGGCCCGGCTCTGGACATTGCAACTTGGTGCATGGAGTTGTAGGGGTGGCTAGGCCAAACCTGAGTGATGAGGCCAGGCAGACAGGGTTATAGCAACACCCAGAGTGGTGGGCCAGGTCCCCACCCCACAGGACAGGAGCTGCAAGAGCCCACAGCTTCAGGGATTTTTGTTTTATGTCCTTTGTTTTGCGTGTGTTATTTTGCATTTTTGAACAACATGGGGCTCTACCAAAAGCATTTCTGGATTCAACAGCCTACTTGTAGATTCTGTCAACTCATCTAGTCCTAAAAAGAAAAGGAGTACTTGTGGCACCTTAGCGACTAACCAATTTATTTCAGCATGAGCTTTCGTGAGCTACAGCTCACTTCTGAGCTATAGCTCACGAAAGCTCATGCTGAAATAAATTGGTTAGTCTCTAAGGTGCCACAAGTACTCCTTTTCTTTTTGTGAATACAGACTAACACGGCTGTTACTCAGAAACCTGTCATCTAGTCCTGTAATCCTGGATGAGGGGCAAGGCCATCCAAAGGGGTCCAGCAAAATTCTGAGGTCTACATGGCAGCCAGAACTTTATATAGCCTATTTCAGGGCCTGAGGAAAGGCCATCCTCTTATTTTTCTATTGGGCACTGTTCACTTAGCGCTCAGATTTCAGCAGCCTTAGTTTTTCTGCTGCTTCTGTCAATAGCCAGTAGATGGCATCAGTGTACAAGTTTCTTTGAGGCTTCTCAGAGTTTTTTTTTTTATGTTGGGTTCATTTCAGTATTAGCCCAGACCATTTGGAATTTCCCCCTTTTAAAGCAATTTCTTTTACTGTTCCAAAGTTCTGTCCCAGTTAAGTGTTTTTAGCTTTCTGCAGTCTTTTTCCTTCTTGTGCTATACAATTCCTATCCCTTCTAGAGTGCAACAATCACTTACAAAGAAGTCAAAAATCCCTCGTGGTTCCTCTAAATCTAACTGGATACAGTCGAGAAGCTTAAACTCTCTACCCTCCCGAGTGTGATCACTTAGTTGCCTAACCCAGATAATGTTTAGTTAGATGGCAACACGTTTGTCAGAAGTTTGAAAGCCTGATTTAAAGAAACAAATCTTTCCAGAGAAAGAAAAGGAGTACTTGTGGCACCTTAGATAGTCTCTAAGGTGCCACAAGTACTCCTTTTCTTTTTGCGAATACAGACTAACACGGCTGTTCCTCTGAAACCTTTCCAGAGAAGTGATCTAAAAGGAGCAAAACTTGGGCTCATCCTGATTGCAGGTAGAAGGAAATTACATATCTTAGCACCTACACTTCATGGCTCCACCAATGCAGCAGTGGCTATGTTTGATTGTTTGTGGCAATTTTTTATTCACTTACATTATCTTATGGCTAAGAAGGTAAAAAGGGGGGAAAAGTAAGTCACATTTCTACAACTGACAGATGTCCCTTTAACTGCTTTGAACAGCTGTTGAAAAATTTCAGGTTTCAGAGTAACAGCCGTGTTAGTCTGTATTCGCAAAAAGAAAAAGAAAAGTCCCTGGAAAAATCATGGAGCAGGTCCTCAAAGAATCAATCCTGAAGCACTTGCATGAGAGGAAAGTGATCAGGAACAGCCAGCATGGATTCACCAAGGGAAGGTCATGCCTGACTAATCTAATCGCCTTTTATGATGAGATTACTGGTTCTGTGGATGAAGGGAAAGCAGTGGATGTATTGTTTCTTGACTTTAGCAAAGCTTTTGACACGGTCTCCCACAGTTTTCTTGTCAGCAAGTTAAGGAAGTATGGGCTGGATGAATGCACTACAAGGTGGGTAGAAAGCTGGCTAGATTGTCGGGCTCAACGGGTAGTGATCAATGGCTCCATATCTAGTTGGCAGCCGGTATCAAGTGGAGTACCCCAAGGGTCGGTCCTGGGGCCGGTTTTGTTCAATATCTTCATAAATGATCTGGAGGATGGTGTGGATTGCACTCAGCAAATTTGCGGATGATACTAAACTGGGAGGAGTGGTAGATACGCTGGAGGGGAGGGATAGGATACAGAAAGACCTAGACAAATTGGAGGATTGGGCCAAAAGAAATCTGATGAGGTTCAATAAGGATAAGTGCAGGGTCCTGCACTTAGGACGGAAGAACCCAATGCACAGCTACAGACTAGGGACCGAATGGCTAGGCAGCAGTTCTGCGGAAAAGGACCTAGGGGTGACAGTGGACGAGAAGCTGGATATGAGTCAGCAGTGTGCCCTTGTTGCCAAGAAGGCCAATGGCATTTTGGGATGTATAAGTAGGGGCATAGCGAGCAGATCGAGGGACGTGATCGTTCCCCTCTATTCGACATTGGTGAGGCCTCATCTGGAGTACTGTGTCCAGTTTTGGGCCCCACACTTCAAGAAGGATGTGGATAAATTGGAGAGAGTCCAGCGAAGGGCAACAAAAATGATTAGGGGACTGGAACACATGAGTTATGAGGAGAGGCTGAGGGAGCTGGGATTGTTTAGCCTGCAGAAGAGAAGAATGAGGGGGGATTTGATAGCTGCTTTCAACTACCTGAAAGGGGGTTCCAAAGAGGATGGCTCTAGACTGTTCTCAATGGTAGCAGATGACAGAACGAGGAGTAATGGTCTCAAGTTGCAGTGGGGGAGGTTTAGATTGGATATTAGGAAAAACTTTTTCACTAAGAGGGTGGTGAAACACTGGAATGCGTTACCTAGGGAGGTGGTAGAATCTCCTTCCTTAGAGGTTTTTAAGGTCAGGCTTGACAAAGCCCTGGCTGGGATGATTTAACTGGGAATTGGTCCTGCTTTGAGCAGGGGGTTGGACTAGATGACCTTCTGGGGTCCCTTCCAACCCTGATATTCTATGATTCTATGAAAAGGAGTACTTGTGGCATCTTAGAGACTAACCAATTTATTTGAGCATGAGCTTTCGTGAGCTACAGCTCACTTCATCGGATGCATACCGTGGAAACTGCAGCAGACTTTATATACACACAGAGATCATGAAACAATACCTCCTCCCACCCCACTGTCCTACTGGTAATAGCTTATCTAAAGTGATCATCAAGTTGGGCCATTTCCAACACAAATCCAGGTTTTCTCACCCTCCACCCCCACACACACACAAACTCACTCTCCTGCTGGTAATAGCCCATCCAAATTGAAAAATTGAAGCTGTTTTTATGAAGGAGATAAACTCCAGGATTCCTGAAATAAAACAGAGCTTTGTTTGGGTCGTTTGGAGAATCCTGTGTGACATGGAAAAATATGGGTGGCCAGGTCTGGAACTAAGCTGGATATGCTCCTTTTTCCCTTCCCTGTTCTCTGTCCATCTCACTAGTGCA